TTGTATTAAAAAACTTAGTCATTATTTTAGCTAAAAACTCAATCATCAATCAAACAGGTGCTTTTGCTTCATTGTTTAAGCTGAAAAGAGGTATTTCACCTGTAACGGAGTCAGTGTTGACACAAAACCTTTATTGCCTCTTATTTCAAATTCTAAGAGAAGGATTCAAAATGTAATGACATCTATATTCCAAGCCAATCTCCAGGATATATTTTTAGTTAAACTTGTTGACAAATACAGTTTGACAAATTCAGAGTGCAGCTGCAAAGTATCACACTGTAACGTTTTTTGATGACACCAAATTGATCTGCCAATATTTAAAATTGGTATATTTCTTGTACTTCTTTGAATTTCACTCTCGGTCTTCTTTAGTCTCTTTATTTAATAAAAGACTTCAATAATCACTTAAAATTTAGAATAGTTGACAGTTTCTACAAATATTATAATCAATGGTAAAGTTCACTCTGTAACAGGATTTGCTGACACCAAATGTTACAGAGTGATGGTATTTTTAGCGGGCATGTCAAAATGATACAAAGTTGCCGATGCACGAACATTGTGTTTAATATTAAGTTTTGGGTTATCATCAATCATTTAGAATTAAAAAGGACCAAATCTATCAATTGAAAGAATGAAAACTGTGCACCATTGGACAAGCTGTAAAAATGTCACGCAATTTTACCTAAAAATGTCATAATTCTGGCTAATTTTTGATCAAAATTATACAAATGCATTGTGGTGATTTATTTTTTTTTTATTTCAGTGGGTACATAGTGATATGGGCAATAAAGTAAAAATAACAGCGTTGCTGTTGAAACCCCTCAGCCAGAGTCAAGTTATCATCCGGAAACCATTAACCTTTAACTCAACGTGGTGACCTTGACCTTTGGCCTTTGACCCCAGAACCAGTCCCAACATGCCTATACCAATGGGAAACCCCCTACCGAAGTTAGACACCAACATTTCATTTCTAACTCAAGGTATCATTCGGAACCATTTACATTGAACTCACCACGGTGACCTTGACCATTGACCTTTTGACCCCAAAACCAATCCCAAGTTGCCTGTACCCAAGGGCAAACCCCTACCTCAGTCAGACACCAAAATCTCATTTCTAACTCAAGTTATCATCCGGAAACCATTTACCTTTAACTCACCATGCTGACCTTGACCTTTGACCTTTTGACCCCAAAACCAATCCCAACTTGCCTTCTCCCAAGGGGAACCCTCTTCCAAAGTTAGACACCAAAATCGCATTTCTAACTCAAGTTATCATCCGGAAACCATTTACCTTTAACTCACAATGGTGACCTTGACCTTTGACCTTTTGACCCCAAAACCAATCCCAACTTGCCTACTCCCAAGGGCAACCCTCTACCAAAGTTAGACACCAAAATCGCATTTCTAACTCAAGTTATCATCCGGAAACCATTTACATTTAACTCACCACGGTGACCTTGACCTTTGACCTTTTGACCCCAAAACCAATCCCAACTTGCCTACTCCCAAGGGCAACCCCCTATCAAAGTTAGACACCAAAATCTCATTTCTAACTCAAGTTATCATCCGGAAACCATTTACCTTTATCTCACCATGCTGACCTTGACCTTTGACCTTTTGACCCCAAAACCAATCCCAACTTGCCTTCTCCCAAGGGGAACCCTCTTCCAAAGTTAGACACCAAAATCGCATTTCTAACTCAAGTTATCATCCGGAAACCATTTACCTTTAACTCACAATGGTGACCTTGACCTTTGACCTTTTGACCCCAAAACCAATCTCAACTTGCCTACTCCCAAGGGCAACCCTCTACCAAAGTTAGACACCAAAATCTCATTTCTAACTCAAGTTATCATCCTGAAACCATTTACATTTAACTCACCACGGTGACCTTGACCTTTTGACCTTTTGACCCCAAAACCAATCCCAACTTGCCTACTCCCAAGGGCAACCCCCTATCAAAGTTAGACACCAAAATCTCATTTCTAACTCAAGTTATCATCCGGAAACCATTTACCTTTATCTCACCATGCTGACCTTGACCTTTGACCTTTTGACCCCAAAACCAATCCCAACTTGCCTACTCCCAAGGGCAACCCTCTACCAAAGTTAGACACCAAAATCTCATTTCTAACTGAAGTTATCATCCGGAAACCATTTACATTTAACTCACCACGGTGACCTTGACCTTTGACCTTTTGACCTCAAAACCAATCCCAACTTGCCTACTCCCAAGGGCAACCCCCTACCGAAGTTACAACCCCAAACAACATTTCTAACTCAAGTTATCATCCGGAAACTAAGCTGCCCGGACGGACGGACGGACGGACAGACAGACATACATCCGGACGGACGGACGCCCTAGGCGATGACAATACCCCTCGAGCCTCTCGGCTGAGGGGTAAAAACACAAATATTAGCAAGCTGGTTATTTTAACATGGAAATGCCCCATGAAAGGAAAGAACATGTGCATTATACCACTGGCCTCCACATTTATGTAAACACCCAGGTATGTAACATGATGGTTTTTTTCAAGACATTTTTTAGTTTTTCTCTTATATTCTTCTCTTCTTTCTGGACAAACTATTTGTAGATGATTGGATTGCCAGTAGCCTGAAATAAACTCTTTTGAAACTGGAACTTCGTTATCAAATCGAAGAAATATTCTTCACGAAAGTCGTGATTACAGTTCACTTTTCTGCTACCTTCACCATGCTAATAAAATGATCATACGTATTAAATGATTGTTCATACATGTTGCTGTGCATATACACTCAACCAAAAAATAAAGTCCCCCCTTCCAATACTTTTTGTCCAACTCAAAAACTACTGAGCGCCTCTCACTCAAATAACGACTTATCAGTACAGAAATTCCTTAGCAATCCAGGCATACTCTTTATTTGGCCCAAAACAGTGAAAATGTGTACGAATTTGTGCAATGATACTGAAAACAGTTGCACTTTTGTATACGTGCATGTTGTGGTTCACACTCACCTTGCACGTTTACAAAAGTGCAACTTTTTTTTTCGGTACCATTTGTCATAAATTGCATAATTTTCTACACATTATCAGTGTTTTGGGCCAAACAAAGAGTATGGCTGGATTGCTAAGGAATTTCTGTACTGATCAGTCATAATTTGACCAAGATGTGCCCAGTAGTTCTTGAGTTAGACAAAAAAGTATTAAGGGGGGACTTTCTTTTTTTGGTTGAGTGTAGTTACAGGTGGTATGAGCCAACTCATTGAAAAATATGGCTGATCCATGATGACGAATACATGTGTGTATTGTGCATACTTTTGATACATGCTTGTAGAGAGGGGCATAAGTTACTGTGTCTAGATATAGATCAATGTCACTTTAAAACTATAGTCCATCATTTGCAGCCATCCGAAAAAGTAATTGGCGTATTATTGTTGAAAACCATACTTGGTTGAAAGATAGTAAGTGGACTAAACTCCCTGTGAAATTAGTCTTTCTGGCAAGCTTTCATTTTGAAGTAATCAACGAAAGAAGGCCTTTCCAACGGTGCGTCTTAAGACGCACTGTAGGGAAATTTAAATTAGTAGTTTGTTTTGTTATTCGGCATAGCGCGCGCAAGCATTGGCACGGCGCACAGGCGCGCGCGGTTGCTACAATTCGTCGGATCAGTGCGCGACATCGCGTATAGCTGCAATTCAAAACAATTCAAAACATGATTCAGCAACTTTTGATTTGAAATTGAGATCCTAGAATGCTGTTTTTCTCGGGATTTACAGCTGAAGCTAAGCTGAAACTTCATCAGGTTAGTTGTTCAGTATCCTTCATTAGATTTTGAACACTTTTGTTGCTTCAAACGAACAAAATGCACAAATTACAAATGATGGACTATATCTTTAATCATCATGACGATTGGCTTTTTACTTTTTACCTGACAACGTTCCAATGATCATAGTGATCGCAAGCCAGTCCTTTGCCGTACAGATAACATTTCGACATGCATGATCCACGTGCATGCATAGTGCGCACATGTATGTAGTGCCGTCAGAAACCACAGTCAGTCACAACACAGATTGTGCAGACCACTCTAAAGCTGCGATTTATTCCGATAAATGCACACCCAAAAACCCACGCATGATCGCTGGCCTTGATTATGGCCTCTGCAAACTCAAAGCTAAGAATCCCTCTTTCATTGTCGACGATCACAATACCACATGTAGTGTACCTGTGGATTTTCCAGATCAATGCAGCCCTTTCAATTCACAATATATGGGTTTTGTTCACTTTTTGGTCTGTTCCAACTTATTCGCTGGAAAAGGTGTGACGTCACTAGACAACTCGGTGCAAGCATGATGACTGGTTCACGCGCACTGCAACGGCCCACTGAACACTGTGGTTCCACTATGGCTGTTGTGAATTCTTTGAAGGGAAAAAATGGCACAACCATGGGCATCGCGAGGGTGGGGGCCAAGGGGGGTGGGCACTTACAATGTACCAGTATACATTACTCTGTGATAGAGTGTTAATAATTGTCAGATTTGAACAGCGCCCCAATGGAAAGTATGGTACAAGCCCCCCCCCCCCCCTCCCCCCTTTTGTTCATGGAGGTTAAGTGTCCGGAGAAAAAAAACATGTCTACATTTCAGATTTTGTTTGCCAATGACCCCCCCCCCCCCCCACAAAAATTCCTGGATCCACCCCTGGACACTCTTATTATATGCAAGTTTTGATTAACTCAATGTTTCTTTAAAAGTAATGGCAAGCATGTTTTGGTGGTCAATAAGAAACATCTCACACCTGAAAATACCAGTGCTCGAGCTGATGCAAACATATCCGACTGCCAATGAACACACGCTCGGGAAATATCTGACATTTTGGCATTTACAGGCAATTTCCTGCCTGTTGTGGTGTCGTGCCATCGCGCCTGCCAGACCTGAGATTTGTCAGAATAGTCAGAATGTTTTGGTCTGGCAACCAGACTCGAGTGTCTTAAAGCTATGATTTTAGAGAGGTCGGTACTCACTTTCTGTCTTCCAGGGCAGAAAATCCATCGTTATCACTGATCAAGTCTAACTTCATAATTTCCGCCATGCGTATACTAAACAATCCATGCAAAGTCATCCTGCGAAATATGATGGCACTATGTGTACACTTGCACTAAATTGTCAATCATCTTGCAAACAAGCTCATGTATGCCTAAAACCATGTTTTCCTTCCTCCATGCTAAAACCGACGCAGATATATTCGGGAAATGCAGCGCGTGTAAGGACTACAACCAGATGCTACATGTATATTACAATTCAGAACATGTAGCTGAGAAACTTCAGTACAGTATTCAGGAAGTTGGAGACACAAAACTACAACTTAGAATGAGCTCAGACTATCACTTTGTGTGTACATGCATTGACATGTGTCCCATACATGGCAATTGGTTTTCTATTGGTTTTCACTGTTCGATAACTCTGGCATACTTTTTTTTTTTAACACATGCAGTTCAATAATGAAGTGAACAACACGCACAAAAACCCCTCTGTCCTATTGATCGGCTTAGTAGACTGTTACACAACGACCTATTATTTCCCTGGAACCTCGAAAAGATGTGTCTCTGTTCACCAGGGCTGCCTAGGCACTGTGGGGCCATCTGTACAGAGGCGAGACAGATCAATGATTGTACAGTGGGGCAATCGTGCATGCATCCATTTCAAGGAAAAATTTTAGGAATGTGTGCCAGGAAAGTCCACAAGAGAAGTAGATAGAGAGTTTTTTTTAACACGAAATTGTCATAAAAAAAGGTTATTGCACTTCCAATCATGCACTCAATATTGCCTCTGCCCCCCCTTTTTTTTTAAAGGTACCGGTACATGTGTACGTACATTGTAACATGTGTAAGATCTTTAATTTTCACTTCGAAAAGGTAAAACAAATTTGACTAAAATTACATGTCCATATTTAAGGCAATGGGTTTGTGATACATTTGTATACTGATGTGCAATGTAAGTGATTGATTTTACCATGGAGGTAGATTTTACCAAATGATTTTACCTACTGGGGGTAGGCCTGTTAATCCCCAACTATAGCAATGGCCCCAATTATAGTTGGGACACAGATGATGTTTAGAGTGGGACACAGATAGTTTACAAATGTAGATGACGCTACATTGTACAGTTGGGGTTACTACAAGTATGTAACAGGCCACCCTATACACTACAGAGGCAGATCCAGGTTTTTATGGAAATTTTGGGTCTGACCTTTTTAGGGCTTCTGTCCCCGTGGAGTAATAAGGTTGTTTTAATGTAAAATTTATGATTTTCCAAGTTTATTTTCCGTATACCAAATATTAACAGAAGGGGCATAATAGACTCCTTCCCCCCCCCCCTCTGTCTCCTCCCTCCTCCTCAGCCCCCCCCCCCCTCCCCATCCAACCCTGCCTGGTCATGCCTGTGGGGAGACTATTGCCATGATTGCAGCGTAAACATATATGCAAGCAAACAGTCAGGGAATCAGAGATATAAAATAATAAATCTACATCATTGTTACCCTACTCATTGAGCCAATGAAATATTCCAAATACGGTACCATAATTGGCTCCCTGGGGAGTATACAGCTTGATGCTGCCGTTTTGGCGCAAAGCAGCTACATGTAATATCAACCACAATAACCATCTGTGCCCTCACAGGTACCCATCTACTCCTGGGTGGAGAGAAGCAATGAGTGACAAAGTGCCTTGCCCAAGGGCACACGCACCATAGCCGCAGGCTGGACTCCTACCCACAACCTGCGGAATTACACGCAGTCCACCAATTCAATGCTTTAGACCACAAGGCCACACAAGGGCGTCAATCGCTCCTCAAAAGTAGGGGGGGGGGGACATACCTTGATCAGAACTAATGCGAGCGCGAAGCTCAAAGCCCTAACAGCGTGGGGTTTGGGGCCCGCTTAAGGGTCTCGAAAAATTTTGGATTCTAAACACTCTGTGGTGCAATCTGAGGCCATTTCTGACCACTTTAACCAATTTTTTTTAGCAAGAGATTAATATTGAAACATCATTTTCGAGTTTGGATCCATTGAATCAGCTGAGCTATATTCTGGGACGAAAAAGGGGGGGGGGGGGTGTGGGGCAAACGATATGATATCCCCCACTTTAAAAAGTGGGGGGTTTCCCCAGGGTTTTTGGAGTGGTCATGCATATTTAAATTTATGCAAATAGAGGGGGAGGTTTGCAGAATGATCAGCTGATTCAGCGAATCAGCACATCAGCGTACATTTACCTACCACTTCCGTATCCTTTCACCGGCGGAATTATTGGGGGAGGGCACGAAAGTGGGCGTGGAGGTGTGCCTACCCACTGGCATGTCGTTGTTAGGCGTACATGTATGTATATCCATGGTGACAGTGCACACAAAAGGACCACCAATGGGTGGGGGAATACCCAGTGATAAATATGTGGGAACATATTAGACAATGGAACTTCTTAAAACCACCAGAAATAAACAAATCAATTCCCACGCCTTTTTCCAAAGCAAATTGCTTGTCCCTCGATCAAGTAGTTTCATCAAGCGCCAGGCATTGCCGACGAGAGAATGTACAAAATGATACGGCAGACAACGAAACTTCTCCAAGCCAACAAAAAGGACAGCTTGTTGTGAGGTTTTGCATTGTACTGGAGACCACGAATTCAACTGAAAGTAAATCGCTAAGCATCGATCGTCGCTTGGCATTTCGCGATGTTTAAGGCCAAAAAAAAAAAAGTCTCCGGTTTCTGGTATGCGCGCGCGTCGCCGTAGCCATGCGCGTCGGCAAAATGAAAAAGTTTTTTTTCCAATGAAAGATGATGCCTCAAAACCGCCAAACTCACTGGTTTGACTGGAATCCTGCTGCTGCACAATTTTAATGTATTTTTAGGTGGGGTTATGGTCGAGAATAAGCTTTATGTGGCCTTTCTGGACTCCCATATATTTGCACTAAGTTTAGTCGGGCACCATTTGCAGTCATCAGCCGACATTTGAAGCAAAAAATCAGATAATGAGTCACGTTTGTAAACACATACATGTGCATTTCGAACTGTAAAAGAGAATCGGGAACCAGGTTGAACTGGTATCCGCCATAAAAGCTGCGCTAGTTCCCGACTCCCTATTATCGTTTGAAATGCACATGTGTTTACAAACGTGATCCAGTCTACTCATTATCATAATCGATGCATCGCGCGCGCTCGGTAACGGAATCGCACTCAGGATACCGGGACCATCGAATGTACGCTGGGCATGTAGAAGAAATCGCGTCGTTCAAACATTAAACACGATCAGAAATTTAACGTGTTCAAGATCGCGAGGGGAGCTCTCCGAAATGGACGGAAACTTTCACTTTTTTCCGGATCGTAAGTAAACTTCAGTACAACCATCTTAACTATCGATGTCTACTTGTACCTCAGGTGGCATATCTAGTAATTTGGAGGCCGTTTTGAAGGTGAAATCTGATGTTTTTTGTTGGAAAATGTTGGTTTTTGGGACAGTGACAGGATGATGTTGTCCAGGTCGCGGTATTAGCTTGGACCCCACTATCGCCAGACCTACTCCTAGAACTATGAGGCTCCGCGTGAGCGGAGCCTCATAGATCAAGAAGCCCGCAAAATTGCCTGCAGCACAAAACACTAATAAAGTACAAAAACGTCCATCAAAATGCAGCCATTTCACACAGAACCACTGCACAGTTTGCCCCTATACTCCGTACTTTATCTCTTGACATACTCACGTATCTTGTGCGGAACTAACATACATGTAGGTGGATTCTGTCGGTTTTTAGGCCAAAATGATGAAAAATATGCCATTTCCGCACTGAGCCAACCTGACACTTGAAACGTGCACGCATATGATCGAGCGATGATTTTCGGTTCGCTCGGAGCGCGCCGCGGGGGGTACGGTACAAGCGAAATGATGTGCATGCGTACAAGTGCATGTACCGTACCCCCCGCGGCGCGCTCCGAGCGAACCGAAAATCATCGCTCGATCATAATGCGGAGCCTCATAGTTCGCGGAGCCTCATAGTTCTAGGAGTATGCCAGACCATGTCCAAATGTTAAAAAAGGCGATAAGTTGGGTCCAAGTTACTCGGACTAGAATTTTACATGGTATTACGGTCATCCTGCCATGTAAGACTGTTAGTCGGGTACCCACTTGTGGGACTCCTACCGTTTTGCGCATGCGGAACTCGGGGTACCAGAGTGTCATGCATGTCTTTGATTTTCTGATCATTTTGAAAACATTTGTTGTGACAAAGTTGTGCCGTATTTTACTTCAAATTTCTTGACAATGACAGATCCAACACTCACATAAATTCACAGGAAGCCTAACAAGTAAGTGACTTACCTATGGGCAAAATTATACGTGGTTTTATGTAGCGGATCAAAAGATTTAATGATTTCGCTTGTAATATTATGCGAGGGAAGCGTGTACTCCGAGCCTCATAGTTCTAGGAGTAGGAAGCGTGTACCAGCGTACGGGTCTACATCATGTTTATCTTTACTTGGCACAGAGGCTGCCTGACCTGCAATTATGGGGCGAAGTGGGGATGGGGCGAAGGGGGGATGGGGCGAAGTGGGGATGGGGCGAAGAGGGAATGGGGCGAAGTGGGGATGGGGCGAAGTAGGTAGGGGCGAAATGACATGGGGCGAAATGACATGGGGCGAAGTGGAAATGGGGCGAAGTGTCCGACAAGCCAGCTGAACACATCCATTAGGGACTCCCAGCCAAACATTCAACTACCAGCCAGGGCATTGCACTGCGGTTGAAAACACAGAGCTGACTGAGTGCAACCATCTGGTTTTTGTTTGAACAAAATCGGCCCAGGGGTTCAAGAGTTCCAGTCAATAAAGGTGACTGTCTGGCTGACATTTTGTGTTGCCTAGCAACCAAAAGTGCCATAAATCACCTTAATCGTTTTTGCAGAAGTCGTTATTTGCAAACTGAGTTGAACTGAGAATTACAATTGTGGAAATCCGTTCACATATATGCATTGTTTTCGTTACAGGAGTTCCAAACCCCAGAAGAATCTCCAAGTCCAGTTACAAAATTGTGAAGTCAGCCAGAAATCAGTGACGTAACCTTGCATAACTCAAGGTTCTGGATCCTGGGCCGCTTGGGAGTTATATAACATGACATAACAATGGACCATTGTCAAAAATTTGTATCCATAAAAGTATTGTGTTGATTTCCTTCATTTTTGAAACATTTGTATAAACCAGCCAACTCTTTCACCCTATCAATCTTGGGACTATCTGCCAGTGATGTCAAATTAATTGATTATTTTTAAAATATAACTTAAGACTTAACGAGAACATGGCACACTCCCTCCCAATATACCAAATATGCACTTTTGTAAAATGTTATGAATGCTTAAGTGTTTAAGAAGTAAAAGAAGGGTTAGCTAATGAAATAAACTAATTCAAAGTACACTTAATGTGAAAATTTTGAAATTAATTAGCATATTAATTAAGGTGTTAATTAGCGTAATGAAGAAATATTGACAATTTTTCATCTTGCTTCATACAAATTGCCCACATTTGTGTAGAACTAGAAGGGATTGAAATACAACTTTATGGAAGCCTTAGTAAAACTAAGTAATTTTTGTCAATGAATTAGCATATTAATTAGTTCTTAATTAAGAAATAATCAAACAAAATCATCTGAAAGTGTTCATTTTGTTTTACTTTGGGCTTCAAAAAATGACTAAGAAAACTGTGGAGATGAGAACCCCTTTAAAGCTTGAGCACACTGTAGACTACATGTAGTGACTATTGTCTTAGCCCTGAGGGTCAGCTCAGCTGTTTATAAGAAACCTTGAGAGGTGATGAATGACTCACCACAGGATTAGCCTTAGGCCAAGGGGTCAACAAAGCAAGCTGATAAGTGTCTCGTGTTATTGGAAGTACATCATGCGTGCATGTACATTTGTTAATGTAAACATTTTGTAAACCAGTATAGAAAACTGTTTGGGTATACATGTACATATGTATTCATCTTTTACAGAAATCTTAAGTCTGCAATTTGAAGCAAAATTAATTAGTATTTGTTACTAAGTAATGCCAACTGAGCATGCTAAGGATTATCGTCAACGCACATGACGAACTTGTTTTTTTTTTGTGGGTAAAGTTTTCGTTTTTTCCCCGTTTTTATCGCTTGAAATCCAAAGAGCAATGTGACAATAGAATGAAATATTAGACAAGAAGAAAATGAAATCGTCAAATTAAAAATGACAATCTAGAAACAATCGTAAAATTGCCTACCCTTTCTAAATCCGCACAGTAAAAAAATGGTCCGATAATGCACTTTGAGTCGCAACAAAATACACAGTCCTGATGATCCATATTGTAAAAATAAAATTACAAAACATAGCAGATATAACCGATTTTTAAATGCTTATTACTTACATTTTATCTTCCTCCATTTCGTAGTCCATAATGGGATCTCACTTCACAAATCAAGCTTTAAAAAACCCGCAAACTAATCGTAGAATTGTACCAAAAAAAAACAGAAAAATTATTGCTCGCAGACGTCGGCCATTTTGTATTATTATTGGTGAGCCCTCTATAGTTCTTAAATTACCAGTCACCAATTTTGCGGGGGTGGGGGTTGGGGGGGGGGGGAGAGTTGCATGACTGGAGCTCACCCTAGCTCTAGCTCTGTGATTATTATGTGGCATGGCTCTTACGTCATATGAAACACAACGATTACTTTCTACAAACGAGGAATCGGGGTAGGGTGGGATTAATGGTGCAAGGCAGCAGTTGCGTAACTACTATGCCCCGCCCTTGAGTCCTCCCCGAATTTGGGGTAAGGCAAAATACGACTGTGTTTTTTTGTGTGTTTTTTAAAATAATAGCAGATACATTGAGTGCACGCCCAAAAGGTCCCTCCCCTACACACTGGACCCCAGCCTATATGCCAATGTTGGGCAGTTGTCACCCCGCTGAGTAGTCGGTGCGGCCGCAGCGCGCTGTACGATAAACTTTACTAAGTGGCGGAGCCTAGGCGTTCGGAGGGGGTACCCCAACCCCACCCGTGTTTAGCAGCTGAATAATAATGTTATGATATTAAGTTCGTAAATGTTTTCTCGTGCCTTAGAATGCACAAGTATAGGCATCACTTCAACTATGTTCCGGTGGCATGCCCCCGCGGTTCCCCCTAAGGCGTCGCCTTCTGCACGTTTTCACACACCCCTCTCCCCCGCCCCCTCCACCCCCCTTGACCTTGAATTCAAACTGGAGCACGGGATTTGATCCTGCGACGTGCGGAGCACTGGAACGGTAATCCGGTAGTCGCAAATCCCGCAGCAATTTTTTGTTGTTGAACTAAGTTATTTGCCTAATTATGCACTTATAATGAGTCAGTTTCCCCGCGCCAAATTCCCCCTTTGTGGTTTATTCAAATAAACTTTAGATTTAATTCGATTAGTGCCAATAAAGCAGGAATGAGAATAAGGCTTTAAGAAAGACGAGTTTAACTTTACAAGTCAAATTTATTACTAAAAATGCCCTTGTGAAAAAGTGAAACAAAGAAACTTTTTTGCAATTTCTTGGATTATTGCTCGTAAAGGAGTGTGACATTTTTGTCATGACCGTTGCTTTCGTTCAGATTTAATTTTTCACGTATAAAACACTACATTGTTTCAATCGCATTTTCTTTCCTGTTGGAATAATTCGCATGAAAATATACTCTTGAATAATACATCATGAAGAATTATTGGACGGAATTTCCATTTAGTACAACCAGTAAATCGTGACTTATCAACCGAACCGTGGAGTACTTTTGTCATGTATGATGACATTAATTGATTTGGTCATATTATTTTTGTTTGTTGGTAAATTCTCATGAAATAGAACTGGCGACCGTGAGACATCATGAACAATTAATCGAGGAAATATTGAGTTAAGACATTAAGCATTTCTTGAGATATTGCTCGAACCATGAGTGTCTTCTTGTAAGAAAAAAAATCATAGAGGGTAGCAAAATGCACGGAGCGTCCTTGTGCACTGTTGGCCGTTGGTTATTGTCGTTGTGTGTATTTTTTTTCTTCCACGGTTCCAGTCGATTTCCACTTTTTCTGTCATTACATCACGACTTATTATCGAACGAAGTTTCGTTTCAGTACAAATTGTTTTTCTGGAGTTACTGTCTCCAAAAGAGTGCTTCATTTTTTTCCGATTAAAATAGACTCAGATTCGGAATGAATTTTTCGTAATTCTACGTCAATTTTCAAGATTCTTGTATCAAATATCATGGGTAATTACTGGACGCAATTTGAAACCAATGCAATATGTTGTTCTTAAGTTATCGTCTCAACAAAGAGTGTCAAAATAGACTAAAATTCGGAATGAAGTTTTCGTGATTAATAAATTAAACGCTTAGGCCTATTTTCTTTAAATCATATTAAATGTATTCTTCATCGGTACACGCCAATTTTCAAACGGCTTGAGTCACATTTTATGGTCAATAATCAGACGCAATTTCAATCTGATACAATATGTTATTCTTGAATTATCGTCTCAACAAAGAGTGTCAAAAGAGACTAAAATTCGGAATGAAGTTTTCGTGATTAAATTAAACGCTTTAGGCCTATTTTCTTTAAATCATATTAAATGTATTCTTCATCGGTACACGTCACTTTTCAAACGACTTGTGTCACATTTTATGGTTAATAATCGGACGCAATTTCAAACCAATGCAATGTGTTGTCCTTGAGTTATCGTCTCCACAAAGAGTGTCAAAAGAGACTAAAATTCGGCATGAACTTTTCGTGATTAAAACGCTTAGGCCTATTTTCTTTAAATTATATTAAATGTATTCTTCCACGGTTCACGCCAATTTTCAAACGGGTGGTGTCACATTGTATGGTCAATAATCGGCCGCAATTTCAATCCAATGCAATATGTTGTTCTTGAGTTATCGTCTCCACAAAGAGTGTCAAAAGAGACTAAAATTCGGAATGAAGTTTTCGTGATTAAATTAAACGCTTAGGCCTATTTTCTTTAAATCATATTAAATGTAGTCTTCAACGGTTCACGCCAACTTTCAAACGGCTTGTGTCACATTTTATGGTGAATAATCAGACGCAATTTCAATCCGATACAATATGTTATTCTTGAATTATCGTCTCCACAAAGAGTGTCAAAAGAGACTAAAATTCGGCATGAACTTTTCGTGATTAAAACGCTTTTACTCAATAGTAGTGAGGTGTTGACGCCACATTTAATTATTGAAAAGTTGGTATCTGACAAATTCTATGCAACTTACACCGGGGGTTTGTGTAGAAAATATCTGACGGTTATTTATTACTCCCCATCACGTTCAATTAACTTCGGCAGCGACCGCAACCCCCATTTCAAAGAAAAATGTAAGACCGAATCAAATTAAGGTACCAACTTTTACGACAACGTGCTGGTTATGAAAATGAATGGCCCGCCCGAGATCCCAATATTGTGTGGAAGCCAATAATTCGAATTTTGTGAAGAAGTAATTCAATTTCTAAAGTTCGGTGGATTGTTTTCGATTTTGCTAGGAAAAAAACAATTAAAAAAAACAACAACCTTTTTTTCGAGTTGAAACTCGAAACGTGTAACGCATCTTTAAAAGCATGATGATTTTCTTTATTTTAGGGTAATTTCAACCCAAAGTAAAAACCTTTTTTTCCGCTCCAGCCGCCCACAGAGTGTTTTTTAATTCCATGAAAATGTCACATACAAACTGAAAATTCGTTAATTAAGAACAACAAAAAAACGAATTTTGTTGAAGAGAACTATGAGAACGTTATACGAAGAGAGCAACTTAAAATAAAACACACAAATTAAAATTCGTCTGGAGAATTTTTTTTTTTTTAGTTTGTTGAAAAGTGTGGAGACTCGGGCTGTAAGTCGAGATGGGATCTGAATCGCTTTTGTCATGTTGTATTTGATAAGAATTATCTGTTCATATTTTTACTGAAGTATTTATTATGCAGGTTGAAAAATAGAAACAGTCACCAACGATCGACGTGGAAGATAGAAAAGACGAACGAACACATCTAAAAGACAAACGTAGGTGGCGTGCTTTGCAAACTTGTACGTGTTATGTTACATACAGTACATAAGGTGTACATGCAAATTAACAAGCGTGGCAAGTTATGTAAAATTCTCAAAATTTCTCTGACATAGTGACAGAGCTGAGCAGCTATGGGAAGCACAGCCATGGATTTGTCCTCGGTGAAGGTTGTGGTTATTGGGGGTGGGCTGGTAAGTATAATCTGATTGTTAAATAATATTTGGAGAGTTGTCATGAGTTGTCCTTGCTTGGTCATGGTCTTGTTAAGTTTACCGTACGTCGCTTGTGCCTACACCGTGCAGTGTGCACAAACCAGTATGAGACTGGTCTGACAAATTCCAAGTGTTTTCTTAATAAATGCTTCAATATTTTCCCTGCGAAATTTGACTTTTTAGGACATGTTGTCGCCTTCTGATGGCTGATAGGGCACTGTAGGGAAAATTAGTGACGTCTATGTATGGAATATTCTTCCCAAATTGTGTAGCCCCTAGCCCCAAAAATGTGGCCAATTTACTGGACTACCTCCGTAAATAAAGGCCACACTTCCACCATGTACAAAAACATGTCGAACTTTGTCAAATTTTGATTTTCACACTTACGCTTAGTTTGTAGTTTATTTTTGCTTTAGATTAGAAGCATACTCACCCTCTTTATAGGCTAATCAGAAAGTGCTGCCTTTTTCAGATGTCTAATTTTCGTGAAATTTCATGGTGAAATTTTGATACGCAAACGTGTGCAAACGAATCTGGAAATTTCACGAAAAATAAAGAGGGTGAGTATGCTTCTAAAAAAGCAAAAAAAACCTACAAACTTAGCCTAAGTGTGACAAAGTTCGACATGTTTTTGTACACGGTGGAAGCATGGCCTTTATTTACGGAGGTAGTCCAGGAAAATTGGCCACATTTATGGGGCTATGTGGCCCCAAGCAGTCTTTTTTATTTTAGATTAAAGTTTTAAACTGACTGTGGGTTTTTGTAAGTTTGATTAGAAGGCCTACTTTGGAAGAAAATGTGACACTTTTTTTTACCGGATTGAGCACTTAGACTGAGTTAGAGACATGCGGGTCACAGCATGCAGTTCAGGTGCTGTCATATATTTATAGTGTCCAAAAAAATACAAAAATAAATGAACCCTGCCCTCTTTCTGCAAATTTAAGCCTGCTGATATTCAATATGGCATTTTAGCGAACTTACAATACAAAGCTACATTTCCTGCTGGTAACTCTTTGGGTACTTAAGGTCCTAAGGCTAAAAATATATATATATTTCTGCTTCCAGTTACCCTACCTACCCTACTTTGACAGCCCCTACCCTAATTTTTTTGGGAAAAATGAGGGAAAAAAACCTGAAAACCATCAATTACTACCTTTTACGCTTGAGTACATGCAAACCCCTCCATATGATCGTACACAAAGAAAATTGGCCAAAAAAACCCCAAATTCCCTACCTACCTACCTTACTTTCAAATGCCATGTAATCAGAAGCAGAACTATTTTATTTTTGGGGGGCCTAGCTTATCTACACAATTACCGATTACGAATTGAAATTTACAAATGTGAACCCCCGATTACCGATTACGAATTGAGATTTACAAATGTAAACCCCCGATTACCGATTATGAATTGAGATTTACAAATGTAAACCCCCGATTACCGATTACGAATTGAGATTTACAAATGTAAACCCCCGATTTCCGATTACGAATTGAGATTTACAAATGTAAACCCCCGATTACCGATTACGAATTGAGATTTACAAATGTAAACCCCCGATTACCGATGACAAATTGAGATTTAACCCTTAGTTTTCTTAATTATACTGAGTTGCCTGTGTGTTTGCACATTAACACATTGACTCTGCTCTACATAAGCAGATCAGGGTCCATGAAATGAATTTTTCTTAGTGAACACATTTTGTGCAACTTTTTACTTCTCTTAAATGTATGAAAAGTATTTGACATCCCTTTTTGGTTAATTTTATTGAAAGAGTGCACTTCTTTAACCTTTTTCAATTTGTCTTTGCTTTTCCGTACAATTAAGGACGCTGTTGCTGTGATGTCATTTCAGGAAGACACTGTTCTGTTTAGGGTTTTTCTGTTCAAATTGTGAACCCAAAATTTGCTCATTGAAAACATTTGTGAGAAAGGGTTGCTCCTTGGCTTACTGACATTTACACAACAAAGAATCACCAAAGAAAAGAACATATACGATAACAAAATATCCAACATTCTAGCAACTTTCTGTGCTGAAACAGCTGAAACATTGAGGCTTCTGCCGGGAATGACATCACACTTTTTTATATAAGTAGTGGGTATTTATATAAAGCGAACATATCCACCAGGACTGGTGCTCAAGGCGCTACATCATTATTACCCCTGCTCATTGGGCCCATTAAACATTCCGAATACCATCTCAGCTGAGCATACAGCTCGATGCACTGCCATTTCGGCGCAAAACAGCTATATCAACCACACTTACCATCTCTGCCCTCACAGGTACCCATTTACTCCTGGGTGGAGAGAAGCAACGAGTGACAAAGTGCCTTGCCCAAGGGCACACGCACCATTACCCCAGGCTGGGCATGTAGCATGAAAGATATAGTCCATCATTTGTAATTTGTGCATTTTGTTCGTTTGAAGCAACAAAAGTGTTCAAAATCTAATGAAGGATACTGAACAACTAACCTGATGAAGTTTCAGCTCAGCTTCAGCTGTATATTCCGAGAAAAACAGCATTCTAGGATAGATCTCAATTTCAAATCAAAAGTTGCTGAATCATGTTTTGAATTGTTTTGAGTTGCAGCTATATGCGATGTCGCGCACTGATCCGACGCATTGGCGCCTGTGCGTCGTGCCAATGCTTGCGCGTGCTGCGCCGAATAACAAAACGAACGTCTAATTTAACTTTTCCTACGGTGCGTCTTAAGACGCACCGTTGGAAAGACCTTCTTTCGTTGATTACTTCAAAATGATAGCTTGCCAGAAAGATTAATTTCACAGGGAGTTCAGTCCACTTACTATCTTTCAACCAAGTACGTTTTTCAACAATAATACGCCAGTTACTTTTTCGGATGGCTGCAAATGATGGACTATAGCTTTAAATGTAATCTTGGTAATAATGAATAAATACTGATATTTATACTCCTACCTTTATACTGACAGGTTGGAGCAATGGAGGCTATCTTTATGGCCAAGCGAGGCTTTCAAGTTGATCTGTATGAGTCCAGAGAAGGTACATATAGGGCCTAATACACTTATATTCAGAAGAAAACAGTTGACCACAGGGCCAGCCTAATGTCTCACTGACTGACTGGCCCACTGACTCCCCGACTGACTCTCGGATTGACTTTCACTTGTGAGTCGGGCAGTGCTATCGTAAAGGATTACCCGGTAACGCCTATGCATTAGGCCCAAATTTGGCCCATTGTGCAGACCAGATGCATGAAAAGACTCCCAGTGAATAGCCGTGCTGAATCAATTGAGTAGAATATGTGTGCACTCGGGGACCAGCTTTACTAAACTTGCCTTGTCTTATTTGTTAATCCTTACCAACTCCATCAAAATCCATCCCCCCATTTTGGTGGATTTTGGGGGACTTGGTCCAGAAGGCCTGGCGTGACTACATATTGATGGAGTATGATGGACTTGGACCTAATGGCCTGAAGCAGTGCTAGGGGTATCCGATTGATTTTGCCTAGCTTCCTGTACTGCTATTGTGATAAAAGCCATGTGTAGCAAGTCCATGAATGTCAACCAGTGCGTCAGTGGTGGATTCCATTATGTCATGTACAGTTTTGTATTAGACGCACAGTGATGATGGCTTTTGATGGAATTGGTCCAGTTCCTTGTAAAAGATGCTAGGGAGTTTTTATTCAGATTCATTTCACAGATTTTTCCGGAAGAAAATGCTATGTAGGTTTCTAAACATGAAAATAAATTTGGTTTGTTTGATTTTTGTTCAATCAAAAATCACTTTAGAAGAAATTAATCCTTCACACATTTGATGCAAAAGTCATTCAAATATTGTCGGCATGCATATTATTATTGCAATATTTATTACAGGAATCTGGAGTTTCTTTTTTCCATAAGTGCCATTTTGAAGTACTATGTACCTTACTATACGTGCGTTTCCGTTGGACAGATATCCGCACTTTGGAGCATGTGAGTGGGAGGAGCATAAACCTTGCGCTGTCAATCCGAGGAAGAGAAGCATTGCGATTGGTCGGTTTGGAAGACCAGGTGAGGAGAGTTTTGTATATATGCCACGGTGGACTCCATGATCAAGTACCCCCTCAATGCTTAACCTTAACCGCCCTGAATCCTTCAAAATCCTCTTTGCCAAAGTGGAAGAATTTGGAGGATTGAGGTTACATGGCAAAAGTGCGTTACTGATTTTGTAGGATGCACTTTGTCAATGTCTTGGGCCGGACCTTGTGTTGATTTTGCTCAGCCATGCGTATAGGCCTGCATTACGCTTGTCACTGGCCAAACCTCAACATATTGACAGTCACTGCCACAGGATTTTGCAGGATTCAGGCAGTGGTCACCCCTCCACAGACCATATTCAAGAAATAATGGAGGAATTTGCAAGATTGAGGCTATATGCTATTTTTCAATGAGGCCAATTGGAGGATTTTGCAGGGTTGAGGCTACATCCTAGCAAAAAGGCCTAGGGAGTTAGGGTTAAAAAGGGAGAGTTGGGGGACACTGAGAGTTTGGGAGGGACATTCGAATGCTATTGCCAACAGTGCCTGATGGTCATGCCAAGACGCTATGCCTTTGTGCACATTCACAATAAAATGAAAATTGCGTATTTTGTGCCAAACGTGCGCAAACCACTTCGCGCACCCGTTGTCGCCCTCCCACTGCGACTTTTAAATGTGGTCACAAAGCGTTGATCTACTGCTCTCGCACGGAGTCCAGAAGTGATCTATTTCCAACGTTTCTGAACGTCTTCATCATAAACACCGCAAAAAATTGAAAGGCCACACTCACTGGAGGGGTCATAATTTAGAATCCGATCGTCTTATGATGACGTCATTTATATAGACCTTTGGGAATTTTGTTTGCTACATTTTGATACCCCATTTGCTTCCAAAGACTGTAAATAGTCCAAGATTGACAACGGTTTATGAAAAATGATGCAGTTTGAAAAGTTGCAAATTTAAAAGAGTACGCGAGGAGCAATTATCTGAACAATGGCAAGTTCAATGCCCTGCCATTAAAGGGGGCCTCCGTGATAGCAGTGATCGCATGGCGTGATGGGCCTATACATTCATGGTGTGCGTTGTTTGATTCTCATTCAGATTGTTGGTGGGGGCATCCCGATGCATGCCCGTCTCATCCACGGTGTTTCAGGGAGGAAGTCCGCCCAGCCTTACGGAAAAGAAGGGCAGGTATACACAGACTCATGTTGTTTTATATCGTAGTTTTTGCCATCACTCATAGGTTTTCTGGCACATTACCTTGTGGCATGGGTGGCTAGTGCGTAAAGCGCTCGCCTCTCACCACAAAAAAGGTGTGCGTTGACTGCGTTCTTTCATCAAAACAGTTCACACATCCCTATGTGATTTCTTTTCGTTTTGCTGAAAGTACGCTGAACTTTTTTGTGATCTGTGGACAGAACCTTAAAACGGTGGTTGTGTTTAAAATTCCGTAACTTTGAAAGTACATGAGTGATTTGAATGCTTCTTGTACTAAAAGGAAGCTTACGAATTTGGCTTTCATATCCTAGATTTTGAAAGAAAACAAATGTTTTAGTTCTGCTGAAAGAACACTGAACTGTTTTGTGATCCATGGACAGAACCTTAAAATGGTGGTTAGTGTTTAAAATTCCGTAACTTGAAAAGTACATAAGTGAATTGAATGATTCTTGTACTAAAAGAAAGCTTACGAATTGGGCTTTCATATCCTAGATTTTGAAAGAAAACAATTGTTTTCGTTTTGCTGAAAAAACACTGAACTTTTTTGTGATCCGTGGACAGAACCTTAAAACGGTGGTTGTGTTTAAAATTCCGTAACTTTAAAAGTACATGAGTGATTTGAATGATTCTTGTACTAAAAGGAAGCTTATGAATTGGGCTTTCATATCCTAGATTTTGAAATGGCTATATGCAGAACTTCAATAAAACAATAGTCCCGACATTTGGGTTTCGTTTTTTTTTTTTTTACTCACCCTGTATTTTGCCTCATTTGTTTAAATATTAATTTTGCAGTTCATTTCATCAGTGGACAGGCGCCTCCTGAATGAAACACTATTAACAGGTTTGTTATGCATTGCATCTTTTTTTATGCATTTTAACTTAATATAATTTGATTTACTAATTTCACCTCTCCTATCCCGAGTCATGAGTCATGCAGGTCGAGTCCGAGTCACGAGTCACAAAGGTCGAGTCCGAGTAACAAGTCACCTCTAACCCTAACAGAACTCAACCCATCAAACCCCAACGGCATGTTTTGTTGGAATCTGTCAGGATGGGTACAGCACCCCTAAACTGACAGTCTTTTACATTGGGTTGGCACACCTCCAGAATCAAATTCAGAAATATGCCCTGTGCAGTTTCCCATATGGTGTTGGAATTTGCCAGGATGGGTATGGTTACTAGTAAATCATGCTAGGGAGTTATGGTTAATATATATTGGAAATACATTTTGGGGTACTGCTAAAACCTCACAGCGTAAATGTTTCCATTTTTTCACAGCTTTTCTCTTATTTAATGAACTGGACATAAGGGGCAAGGCACCAGTGTCCTGGAAAGGATAATCTGGTACCAAACACTATCAAGCTTGCATTTAATACGCAATATCGAGTGTGGATGCTGGGGCACATGTTTCAATACATGGATTTCCCAAGTGCTTAGATGCGCTTTTTTCCTGCACCGCACAGACTTTAACGCTTGCTCAAAATAATTTTGTAATGATATTGTTGAAAAAATAAGTGATTTGTGGTAATTTTGGTCGAGTCCCGGGTCACGCAGGTCGAGTCCGAGTCCAAGTCCGAGTCCTCGGGGTCGAGTTGGTGTCTGAGTCATTTGTCATCGTGACTCGAATCTCAGTCCGAGTCATTTGTCATCGTGACTCGAGTCCGAGTCACGAGTCGTACAAGTCTGACTAACACACACTCATAACACAAGATTGCCATTGGCAACATGGTGCCGGACTGAAATAATGTGGTTTTCAACAACAGGGAAAAAAAGATGTAAATGACATATCAGCTTTTGTTACACTAAGCGGACAATCGCAAAATTTGTGCTTTTGATTCTTCACTAACCATATTTTAAGAGTCTGGGTCACAACAAATCCTCGTAATGTCTTATATTTACGGAAAAACTACTCAAAGGTGCCATTTGTTTACATCCAATGAACGTTGTGTGAACGTCCGTCGTCCGTATTCTACTTTTTAAGTATCTTGCCAACTAATATCATTTCATAGAAAACACATTTTGTAGCCCAAAAAGGCACATTGTCTTGAAATTTCTCCTTTAATTAAACAGAGTGTCGAGCTGAAAAAGCAAAGAGATTTGGTTTAAGAGAATTTCAACCAATTGAGTCATCATCAATTGAGGAGACTCCGACAACTTCCAACAACTTTGTTTTTTATTTTTCTATCGTTATTTTTTCCATGAACAAGCATGAACAAAGCTGTTTTTCCAAAGCCCTATTATTTGTTTTTTGTTTTGTGCAGAAGCTGAAAAGTACTCCAACATTCGTCTGCATTTTTATCACAAGATGGTGCAGGCTGACTTTGACAACGGAGTCATCTTCTTCACAGAGTAAGCATTCAGAAAAAAACCCAAACTAAAGCGCCTCATTGACGGTTCAAAACATAGATATTCGATATCTATGGTTCAAAAATACGTGACGGCAAAAAGCGTCTGCAGCGAATATGCGCACACGTTGCGCTGTTTGCGTAGAGCAAAATGACACGCTCATTTGCTGATCGAGCGTTTCGGTTTTGGGCGTATCGGCTTCGATAACGCACCGGTATGGAATACAAACGCAGATATGCAAATAGCCGTACAACAGCCGTACAAAATTTGTAGGTCTCCATAGGTTTGTGCACAAATGTGGATGCGCCCAGCAGGCATTACTTTGTACTTGAAGTTAGCGCTCTAGTAATTTAATATAGCTCTATGCTTGCGATTGACTTATGTTGGACTTGTTTAGGACTTGTGATCATCACAAGTACCTTGACTCCAACCTTGCTTGATAAACAGACGGAGATCGCGCCGTATTTCAAAGGAAAATCAGTGCTCATCAGTTGAGATGCCAGAATGTTTAATAATAAACACTGTCTTTTCGAACCCAACCCCTCCAGTAAGGACGGGTCAAAGGTCAAGGCGTGCCCTGACCTGACCATTGGCTGTGACGGCGCCTATTCCACCACTAGACGCCAGATGATGCGGTGCGGACGCATTGATTTCAGTCAGGAGTACATACCCCACGGATACATGGAGCTGTGCATACCACCCAAAGATGGCAAGGCAAGGCTAACTCCCCCTCCCCCTCCCACCTCACCCCCACCCCCCACCACCCTATTCAGGGTGAGTTAGAATGATCTGGACCCAAGTTCACCTTTCTTGTGGCAAATAGAGTATATTGAAAAAGAAACTGTGCGTTTCATATGAATGGTTATTACCTTGTCTTCCACAGGAATTTTGAATTTTTCCAATTCGTGGCTGTGGTGAGGAGTTATGCCATTTTCATTGAAGTGGCTATTTTCCAGTCTGCACACGGAATTGGTTTTGCCTTTTTAAATGTGACAATAACTTCAAGTGAGTCAGTCACCATGACTTGGTTTTTATTTGTTATTATACTGCTTCACAGCAATACGAGATTTCAATGAATTTGTTGAACCATGGAGCCATGGTCAGAGAGTATTTTAGCGTGTGTTCTTTGCTATTACTTTTCTTCAAAATGGTATAATTGATACATGAAACTTTCACCAAATATGTTCAAAATACCAGCCTACAACATATCTCATTTGCTCTTGTTTTGGTAATTGCTACATGTTATTAGTATTTTCTTAAGTTTAATTTGGGTCCAGATCATTCTGACTCATCCTATACAGCCCGTGCACAAGTATCCAACGATTTGGCCTGTGCCAAAACGCTGTGCCACTATAGCAGCAATAGCTTGTCTATCCGGTTCATAAGTGTGAGGTCATTTCAACTTAAACCATGCCCACTACACACGCAGTAGCATTGAAATTCATTGGAACCATTGGAACCGGCGGTAGTGCAAAGTTCCGTGCTTAGCCTTAGCTAGTAATCAGTGGTGCGTGCGCGTGTAAGTCGAAGTCACTAACGAACCGGATACCACGGCAGTTGCCCTAAGCACCGAGCTTGCCTAGTCTAACCAAATGAGTTGAGAGTATCTTGCCATGATTCAAATAACTTCCAAGCAGTTCAGTGCACTTTTAGCGCTATCTACATGTACAGTAGTTGTCACACCGCATTCACTCCCCATGATGATGCGGACGCAAGAGAGGTTACTGTGAGCATGCGCAATCCTGAAATGTTTCCTGAAATTGAGTTTGGACAACGTTCATACCAGTTGCTGCGACACCGTGGTTTGAAACATTGATAAGCACGGCAGACCCTCGAGCCAAAGGCTGGTGCAGTGCCAAATTCAATTTGCTGGGCCAAAATGGTTTTGAATTTGGTGCTGTCACCGTAAGTTGAGTTTGACACAGCAGTAACACGATGTTTAGAATACCGTGGCTGTATGCCTGGGGCTCATGCACAAACTCATTTTTCGCTAATGGTAAGCAGAGCCATTGGCCCCAGGTGTGCGGTCCCCTCAAATTACAGAACAAGCATGTGTTCGCACATGTAGTGTGTCCTGCACAAAAGGCTCTTACCACTGGAAACGAAGTGCCATCTATCGTTCCAGCAGGGCATCCATAGTCAGAGCACTGCCTCAGTCTCTCTGATAAAGAGCTAGACAGTAGTCAGCGCTTTCTTGTGCTTGTGACCTCTGACCTGAATTAAACTAATTTAAATATGGGTCATTCTATGAATTTGTAGCCCACCTCATCCAGTCCCTTTTGCATCAAACATACATTGGTAGGTGAATTCTCGCTATTGGTATAAAACTCGCTATTTATTGGGTTATATTCCTCAAGATTTGAGGGACCTATACAGCAAGTTTTAGCAATGACATGTTGGTGAATTTGAGAACTTTCGCTGCAATTTCTGTTAGTCGCAGTACAGTGTATGTAGGCAGAGTCCATGGGCTAGTTCAGCTCCAAAATTAGACGCGCACTGCAAAATGGCACCATGTTAAATTCCCTCTCCTCTTCGCGCAGTTTGCCGCTGAGATCAACTACCTGCACATCTGGCCGAGGGACGAGTTCATGATGATAGCGCTGCCCAACCAGGACTGTTCCTTCACCTGCACGCTCTTCATGCCCTTCGTGAATTTTGACGAGATCGAGGCCGCGGGGGGCGAGGCTCCCGTCGACTTCTTCCGGAAGTACTTCCCGGATGCGATCCCGCTGATCGGGGAGAAAGCCATCAGGACAACATTCGAGGAAGGGCGGGCCCTTCCCATGGTATCAGTCAAAGTAAGTTTGTGTCTCCCAGAAACTTGATAGAGCTAAAGAGAATAATACAAATAGTAATAACTGGACTTATAGAGCGCCAAATTGCCAAAGGATACAAGGCGCTTATTATTACCCTGCTCATTGGGCCAATGAAACATTCCAAATACCATCTCAGCTCCCTGGGGAGTATACAGCTGGATGCTGCCATTTCGGCACAAAGCAGCTAATATCAACCACAATAACCATCTCTGCCCTCACAGGTACCCATTTACTCCTGGGTCGAGAGAAGCAATGAGTGACAAAGTGCCTTGCCCAAGGGCAGTGTTGTAGTCGAGACCCTGCAAGACCGTCACAAGACCAACACAAGACCTTCAGTCTCAATTCAAATCACAAGCTATTCAAACGAACCGTGACAAAAGCATTCCTTTGTTATTGTTCATCCACTGTGACTAGTGACTGGTCTTGTGATGGTCTTGTGTCTGGTCTTGTGATAGTCTCGACTACAACGCTGCCCAAGGGCACTCGCACCGTAGCCGCATCCTGGACTCGAACCCACAACCCGTGGAATTACTCGCAGACCACGAAATCAGTGTTCCAGACCACGCGGCTATAGCACTCCAAGAAGAATTTGAACTCTTTAACTAAATGTCCCTTGAAATGTTTCTGCAGTTATCGTGGTGTTTTAGTGGAAAAGACTAGATTTTTTTTTAATTCCAAAAGAGATTCAAGACATTTTCTGTATTATTGCAAAACCTGTTCTAATTGGTTTAACAATAATTTGGGACTTCTCTTGCTCTGACAACAGTCCTTGGGATTAAAGGGAACATGTACTGCTTATTTCAGTGTAACAGTTTATATACTCCGGATAATAAGGACTAGTCTATAGAATTTCCTCTTGCACAGCAAGAGCCTATGATATGTGAGCAGATTCAGCGATCAGTTATGCAAACAAGACCGCGTCTTGGCCTCAAGACTCTGACCATTCAGCGAGCGCCTTCTATCGGGTCTTCCATATTAATAATAATAATAATAAAAATAATAGTGGGTATTTATAAAGCGCACGTATCCACCAGGACTGGTGCTCAAGGCGCTACATCATTATTACCCCTGATCATTGGGCACATGAAACATTCCAAATACCATCTCAGCTCCCTGGGGAGTATACAGCTCAATGCTGCCTGTTAGGCGCAAGGAAGCTACTTTAATCACAATAACCATCTCTGCCCTCACAGGTACCCATTTACTCCTGGGTGGAGAGAAGCAATGAGTGACAAAGTGCCTTGCCCAAGGGTACACGCACCATGACCCCGCCAGGACTCGAACCCACAACCTGCAGCTTTACCCACAGACCACGAATCAGTGCCTTAACCACGAGGCCACAGCACTCCACACTTGTTATTACAAAGACATGGCATCCAAACTGGCCAATCCACAGCTTAGTCCACACTTCTGATTGTAACGAGGTCACAGTTTCTGAAAACCACTCCATTTCTGGTTTCTTTTTTGTAGTGTTCCCCCTATAACTACAAGGACAAGGTGGTCATCCTGGGAGATGCAGCCCATGCCATGGTGCCCTTTTATGGCCAGGGGATGAACTGTGTAAGTTTGGATGCCTTGTTGGTGTTTTACTCACACGTAGGGACATTTTCATGTTTGTCACTCATTTTTCTGTTCTGTACAAAGGCAATTCCACGGAAAGTGGATTATGGCTGAAAAATGTTACATCTTGAGAACTACAAGCATCACAGCCTCTAATGTAGTATTAAGTACATTAACCCTAACTCCCGAGTGTTTTTTACTCTTTTGCTCCCTTCATTTTTTTCTTGCCCCTCCCCCAGTTCCCTCCCCCCCCCCAGATTTCTCCCAACACTTTATCAACAAATAAATTGATTATGTTTATCGTCTTCGCTGTTAAGATTCATAAAATATGGACACATTTTGGGCCAATGAAAGCATTATATACATCGGTACTTAATACAAAATACGCCACATATGCATTCATACAGCCGTAGATAGTGTGCAGCCAGCGTCTTAATTTGTACATTTGTTATACACCATTCTGTAGTTTGATACATCTCTCATTCATAAAAATGACTGCACTGAAAAGTTACTCTAGTGGCTTATTTCTGGACCATTGACAATGGGCACGCGCACGCGTACACAGGCTTAAGATTTTTTTGAATGCATCCCAAAAATATTTCCTTGCCCCACAAATTTGAAAGTCTGGTGCCACCACTGCTGCAGTTATCAATGGGTTACAGTTGCAGTGATTTCATTTAGTTCTCGCATAAGTTACATGTACAACCATTTACATTTTTGACTTACTGGCACCATATAACAAAACAATTGTTGACTGCTATGATGTGGGATATGTCGTGTCCCCCTCACTACATGCGTAGCACTCTCGGCAACAATAATTGCTAAATGATACTGCTCACTTTTCTTGCTTGCACTAATCCCGTTTCAAAGGATGGAGTGGATACGCCTTTCCACTCTGCACTTAATATATCTCCCATTTTAAATCAGGGGTTTGAAGATTGCATTGTCTTCGATCAGTTCTTGGACAAGTTCAACAATGATTTCGGTGAGTGGAGAGTAGTTAGCGATATGTTGCATTAGGCCCCCCCCAAAAAGTCTCCGGTTTCTGGTATGCGCGCGCGTCGCCGTAGCCATGCGCATCGGCAAAATGAAAAAGTTTTTTTTTTCAATGAAAGATGATGTCTGAAAACTGCCAAACTCACTGGTCTGACTGCAATCCTGCTGCTGCACAATTTTAACGTGTTTTTAGATTGGGTTAATTATGGTCGAGAATAAGCTTTATGTGGCCTCTCTGGACTCCCATATAATTTGCACTAAGTTTAGTCGGGCACCATTTGCAGTCATCAGCCGACATTTGAAGCAAAAAAATCAGGAAAAAAAAAAAAAAAAGCCGCGTCGCCGCACCACTTTTTGGGCAAGCTTCATACCAGAAACCAGAGACTTTTTTTTTTTGGCCTTAGGCACTTTTGTTTGATTTTAGTTGTGTTTCAGCAAACCTCAAGACTCGTTTGAATTAAATGTAAAACATGTGCCCTGTTCGGAATTATTCTTGAAAGGTCATTTAAAGGTAGAGTTCATCATTTGCAGCTATCCAAAAAGTAACTGACCGAATTACTGTTGAAAGCGTATTTGGTTTAAAGGTAGTAATGGCACTAAACTCCCTGTGAAATTTTCTTTCTGGCATGCTGTCATTTTGAAGAAAACAATAAAAGAAGGTCATTTCCAAAGATGCGTCTAAAGACGCATTTAAAACAAATTTCCGTATTAAGGTGTTCGTTTTTATTTCGGCGAAGCCGTAAAATGAGTGTGCGCAAGTGTTGACATGACTCACACACGTGCCCGGTTGCTATAATTCATCGGTTCAGTGTGTGACGTCGCGTAGCTGCAATCAGCTGAATAAGAACATGTCCAGGATGCTGATTTCGGGAACATTTCAAAACATGACTTAGCAACTTTTGAATAGAAGTCAAAAACCTAGGATATTGTTTTCTTGAAATTTTCAGCATTCTATGAGCTAAATTTTCATCAGGTTAGTTATTTTGCATCCGTCTTTACATTTTGAGCACTCTTGTTGCTTCAAACAAACATAATGCACAAATTACAAATGATGTCAAGTAACTGTTTTTAACAGATAACAGCTCCCAGCCCACATAAAGCAGGATTGACTGGCTGTGAATGTTTATGTAACTTGGTACAGCTATGCATTGACTGTAGGTGATTGATAAGCCAGTTGTGCCTAGCTACCACTTGCCTACTTTTGTCTGTTGACTGAATTTGACTAACCACAGTGCTTACTTGAAATATGAACTGATTGTTGTTGACTTGCCTGTGTAAAAGGCATGGCAGGGGAAGAGGATTGATTTTTTGACCGTCTGTGACTGTTCAGACAGCAGGAGGGTTAATCATACAGTGTTATTATAAAGAGATATATCTTGTCAAAATTATAATTAGCCACAAATATGTATATTTAGAGTGACATGCAGTTTGTTTTGAAGTGCCTAGAATCTTTTCTTGGGGAACTGAATGTCTCCATTGGGAATCGATTGCTTAAAAAAAGGGGAATCATGATTCCGATTCCAATTTCAGAATCAATTCTATTTGATTCTGGCCTGGAATCACCCAAGCCAAAAAAAAAAAGGAATAATTTTGGAGGATTGCTTCAGCATGGAGGCAGTTGAAGGATTTTGAAGGCCTAGGGGGTTAGGTTTAATAACTGACCGTCGTGTCCTTTAAATCACATGGATGTAAGACTGACCAACATTTCTGACAACATGAATTCTTTATTGTTCAGCCAAGGCCCTGCCTGCCTACAGCGAACACCGCAACCCAGATGCGAAGGCCATATGTGACCTGGCTATGTACAACTACGTTGAGGTACAGTCAGAATTAATATTCAAGTTTTTTTTGTTTTTCTTCATCTTGTCAAGTTAAACATGGCAAATCTTTTTAACTGGTTAAATGCATGTGGGAACATTTGTAATAAACCCCCAGTCACACATTCACGATTTGGAGCTACGGATCTCCGCGGTTTGAAATTTGAAATAAACTGTGGGAGTACCGTATTCATCCTTGGTACATCCGTGGTTATCCGTCATCTTCCTTGGGCATTAGTGGAGGGGCTACGGAAGTTTGAAACTGTTCATAGCTTCTGTTGTGAACCGTCATGAAAATTAATCTGTAGTGCAACGTTGGGACATCCGTAGGACAACCGTACTTATTCGTAGTGTTATTCGTGGCTATTCGTGCATATTCTTGGAGATTCGTAGCTCATTCGTGGTAGAAATCTCTACGAATTCGCTACGAATGTCCTACGGATATGCCTGGATGTGCTAGGGTTCTGGTAAGGTATCGGCTTCGGTAACACACCTGTATAGAATACAAATGCAGATATGCAAATAGCCGTACAAAAGCGGTACAAAATTTCGAGTTCTCCTTTGGTTTGTGCACAAACATGGATGCGCCCAGCAGGCATCACTTTGTACATGAGTCAGCACTCTAAACTTAATATGGCTCTATGGGCAGAATACAGTTAACGAACACGGTTTAAAGAGTAAAAAATTCGATATTATTATTGCATAAAGTTTCTATAAATGTTATATACATGTATACACAAACTGGCTGAATGCGAATCATGTCCGGAGTGTGCTGAATAGGGATTGTACAGAGGTTTCAATTCAAAATATTAAACGGCATCATTTGAATTGGAAGCGACAAAACCCACTTACGAGACTAAACAAAAATGCGAATAGACTTTCCCTGTTTAACAACATGTGTTCATAAGTAAAAGTCATTTGATGGACACTTTAAGGTACCACTTTATAGTACAAATACCAATTTCTTTTTTTCTGTGTAACCTTTTGTAGATAAAAGCTCCTGTATGGTTATAACCTCAAGGATTCAAGCTTGAGAAGAGATTCTACTAACCGCCCTGAATCCTTCAAAATCCTCTTTGCCAAAGTGGAGGAATTTGGAGGATTGAGGTTACGTGGTAAAAGTGCGTTACTGATTTCGTAGGATTCACTTTGTCAAGGTCTGGGGCCGGACCTTGTGTTGTTTTTTGCTCAACCGTGCATAAATATAGGCCTGGATTATGCTTGAAATCCTCTGTACTGCTCCAGGATGTCACTGGCCAAGCCTCAACATATTGACAGTCACTGCCGCACGATTTTGCAGGATTCAGGCACTGGTCACCCCTCCACGGACCATATTCAAGAAATAACGGAGGAATTTGCAGGATTGAGGCTACATGCTATTTTTCCATGAGGCCAATTGGAGGATTTTACAGGATTGAGGCTTCATCCTAGCAAAAAGGCCTAGGGAGTTTGGGTTAAACTTCCTGAGATCTCAGCCCTGTCCCAATGTATGTCTTAGGACAAAATCCTGTATCGCAGATAGTTTTTCGATCGCATTTTTGTTTTTTGTTTGCAGATGAGGTCTTTGGTGAACTCCCGTTGGTTCCTGTTTCGGAAGCGAGTGGACAAGTTCTTGAACTGGTTGCTGCCAAGCAGATACATTCCCCTGTACTCCATGGTGACGTTCAGTCGCATCCGATACCACACCGTCATACAGCGATGGAAGAAACAAGACGTGGTGAGTGCATTTGAAAGCAATATCACATTGTTGAGAAACTTGCTGAGAACATGGACTCCAGGCACATGTACCCACTTACTTGGTCACACGGGAAGATTTGGGTACCAGACTGACTGATTGACGCACTGACTGGCTGTCACTTTTGGTCATAGAGTTATATTTTAAAAAATTTGAGAGCGCACTCCGTATACTACGCGCACACGCGAACGTGCACGAAAAAATGCACAATACAATTGTGTGGAATTTCAGCTATCCAGAATGAGTCATGCTACATTTCCAATAAATACATACGGATGCAAAATTCACAGATACACATCAGGAATATTTAAGAAAATAAAAACCAAAGTGAAACATATTCAACTTACGGTTCTTCACCCTCTCGGTGGGAATTTAGAAGCACAACACAACCGGAAAAAATAACTCGGCAAAATTGCATGTGGGCAAGATTTTGCAGATATCGCTTCATGCGTCACGTCGGTTTGAGTCTCTACAAGCTTCTGTCCTGTACCAGATTCCTGCGCTTTGCGCTCCAGTACGCATGAAAGATTACCCCGACATGTTACATAACCACGGCTAAAAGAAAAGCAAATCTATGAATTTAAAGGGAATATACAACATTTGCAAACATCGAAAAATAAAACTACCAAGTTTTTACAAAATACCTTACTAGGATGTTGGTAAATGACAGTCTAAAGCATCCTGTTAAATTATGGCACCAGGTGTGAAATCATTTTCAAGAAAATTGTATTTTTGTATACATTTCCAACGGTGGTCGGCCGACCACCGTTGGAAAAACCTAACTATTTTTCAACTACTGCTCCAAATTTACCTTTTTTTCAGTCTAAATTGTGTTTGCTATTTGTTACATGTTCATTAACGGGTGCAGAGCAGCTAGACTGGTTCCCTTACCTTACAATTTTCTGGCATCTATAAATTGATCCATTTTATCTTTAGTGGAGTCAGGGAACCAGACTACTTGAACATTTTTGTTTGTCTTGGTTTTTCCAGCATTTTCGAACACAAAATTTCAAACATATCAGTGTAACAATATTTGATCTATTATACTAACGCCTCAAATAGTTCATTTCTGAAAATTACAGCAAAAGCCAATGATGTACATTCCCTTTAAAGGACAGCTGTAAATAGACAAAGGACCGGACAACAGACGATTACACTAAACTCAAGCCAAGTCTTATACCATCTATAATACAAAAGAAAAGGGAAACAAAAATAAGAATTATGAAAAACTGGCAGCACCGCTGACAGCGACATGGACGCGCGGCCGTCATACTATAGGTGGAAGAATAGACCAATCAGGATTGGTAATAAGCCCCGCCAACCTTAGCAACGGCTTAGGAATGTCATAGGCTCGGTCAAAGTAAACTCAGTCTCCGCATGCAAGGTGTAACGTATGTCATACAAGGTGTACGTCACACAAATCTCAGCACTGAGATTGAGATTTTGTTCAGGACTGGCAGTACGGTTTCTTTTGAGGTTTCACATTGGGGAGACCAGGAACTCCAGCGAACACAGAGCACAAAGCGACGCCGCTTGGCATTAGGCGATGTTTTTCTTTTGATTCACGAGCCCAAGTCGCTGCCATGATTCACAAGCACAAGTCGATGCCGAGGTATACAGTATTTCATATTACAACATACTTTAAAAAGCACAAACGGGAGATTTATTTGGGCGATAGTCTGACGCATTTCTGATATTTTCGATATCATTCCTCAATATCCAAAATCTCGCTATTTCGATATGAAAAAAAAATTGCTATCGGCGGTATCGATATCAAAATAACATTGAATAATCGAGTAACATAGATATATCTACTGTGCTTAGACCAGCTTTACTAGGTTTACGTTGTCTTGTTTTTAATATTCGCCCCCATTTGATGAGTTTTGACCCGTCACCCTTTTCACAGATTGTCAACAAGGGGCTGTTCTATCTGCTGTGCCTACCTGTCGTCATTGCTGGAGCCCTCACGTTAAAACGCTTTAAACCAGACGTATTCAGTTGGCTGAAATTCAGTGGAAAGACCTAAATTGTTTTCATTTTTTTTAATATTTCACTCACGGATTAAAGGGTTAAGTTTTCCTTTTTTGGATTCAGTATTCAAAACCATAGTAGCTGAAAGTACATGTAAAATTGTAAACCATACCATTTGGGAGTGGAATTGAATAATATTAGTACCCAGACTTTTTTGTTTGGTTATAAATGTGTGCATTCAAAATGAAATTCCCCAGACTAGAAGAAACTGTTGTTTAGCAAATGATCTGGAATGTTCTGGAATGGTCCAGTATATTAATAATAGTGGGTATTTATAAAGCGCATGAATCCACCAGGACTGGTGCTCAAGGCGCTACATCATTATTACCCCTGCTCATTGGGCACATGAAACATTCCAAATACCATCTCAGCTCCCTGGGGAGTATACAGATCGATGCAGCCTGTTAGGCGCAAGAAAGCTAATTCAATCGCAAACCATCTCCGCCCTCACAGGTACCCATTTACTCCTGGGTGGAGAGAAGCAATGAGTGACAAAGTGCCTTGCCCAAGGGCACACGCACCATGACCCCAGGCTGGACTCGAACCCACAACCTGCAGCTTTACCCGCCGTCCACGAATCCAATGCCCCTAACCACGAGGCCAGAGGCTTTCAACCATAAACCTTTGCGAACACTGAGTTTGGTTATATCCTGTCTTTGATACTGTCATTTCAAAGGTTCCGTTTGTAAAAATAACAGTATACATGTATCTCATATACACTGCGTTGCAATGCTGCGTTGCGCGCTTGTACCTATGTAGGATCGGCCAATGCACTTGGGACTCTCATGTCTGCAGGAAAGTTTGCAGTTATCAAAGGTTACACCGCAGTAAGCTTCTACCCTTTATCTTTTATACTGGCACGATATAACGCAACTGCTGTTTACTGCTGTAAAACGCATCCAACATTACAGCAGTCAACAGTTGTTAAACAGTGCGTCTCTAATGCATAGCTATGCAAGAACGTGCCCCAAAATTGTAATAAGGCAACAGCATCTTAAGTACAGTAAACTCCGGCTAAGTCGACATCGTACAACTCGTCAAGTCGCTCAAGTCGTCCGTCTGACTTAAGTCCTGATTGTCCGTAATGCATTTCCATTGAATTTTTTATTTCTAAGTCGGCTTTTATAAGTCGCCATTTCACTCAAGTCATTGTGTTACTCTCGGTGCCTTTCCACAAAAAGCGTAACAACATTTTTTGTGTAAGTCAGCATTCAAAAAATCACGCATTGGCATCGACTTCCTGTACTGCGGTTGTCAAGAAGTGTCGAGTGAAAAGTGGTTTGGCACGGCACCTGATAGCTGCATCGGTACTAGGTACACGGTGTTGCTGCACAGCCAAGCTAAAGGGTTTCCTACAGCATGCATCGTGAGCATATCAATACCAGTACCCCCTCTAGTCTGTATGCATGCGCTCTGTCCATTTTAGGGGTCGTCTTATTGAATGATGCAGTCAAAATCAATGGTGCAGTCAATGCGTGCGTGGTATACCACGCACGCATTTAATTCACAACCATGTATTACTATTTTGTACACGTGGTCTCCACTATCAGTACCCCAAATGTGATGATAAAATTCGAGGATTAATTTGCTGGATTCAACTCTAGCATTAAGGAGATAAACCAGGGTAAATCGAAGCCAATTAGTGCAATGAATCATGTGTGCAAAAAGGCCATTCATGTAAGTCGGCAAAACGACGACTTACAGCAGTCGTCACAAATTCTCGGGTCTCGAGAGTGCCGACTTAGCCGGAGTTTACTGTATACGTTAACTTATGAACAGGTCAGTGTACCAGACGTTATTTAGATTTCACTCAAAAAGTATGAGTCACTCTCAGATGGCTCATGTATTTCCCACATGGTATCTTAAGAAGAATCTTTATATTTTTGTGTCGGTGCCGTTCCACTGTAGCTTATATTTTAAATATACATAGGTTTTGCCTGAATTCTTTTGAAAATTCATTTGTAATGTCTATTTTGTGTAAGCTTGTTAAGTTGTTTTGTGATCAGCCTTTGGACAATAATGAGTGAGCAGTGCTCATAAATTGTCATCGTTAAAGGGTAAAACCCAATATTGGATTGTCAACTTGCCATTTTGCATTTCTGATGTCGGCCCAAGGCTTATAAGGGTATTTGGGTATTAGTTTTGTATATCTACTACATATGAAATAGCAGTATTATGTGTATTTATGGAACTTTTTGTAGCCCAAGCATAGTCTTGTGAAGTGGATCTCGGTCAAAAGAAAGCACCACATTTTTTTTGTGGTGGTGGTGGCTGTGGGGGAGGGATAGGGAACTAAACCCCCCCCCCCCCGCCATCTTGACATTTGGCCGTTTTGTTGTTGTTGGTTTGTAAGAAATGACAGCACCAACACCTCTCGACCAGTACTAGCAGTAACACCCCTCCCTAGTTGTATAATATATTTTTTTTATAGAAGACAAACGGATCGAGGGGGGGGGGGGGAACCAGCTCTGTCAAAAAAAAAAATTTCCCATAGCAATTCATGAAACAAAATGCGACCCCCCCCCCCCCCCCCCACACCCAAAAATATTTTGTACTGGTAAAAATGTCCGCCTCTGCACAAAATACGGACAGAGCCAGCTTGGTTAGGGGTTATATGTACAATATTCTGTGATATGGTATCAAAAATCGTCGGATTTGAACAGTGCCCCCATTGAAACTATAATACGAGCCTCCCCCCCCCCCCCCCTCCCCCTCCCACCTATTGATTTTCGGAGGCCAAGTGTCTCAGGTACAGGTTGATACAGGTTGTGCAAATGCAGGGTACTGTTAGGGTTAGACTATTTACTTTTATTTGGGAGCATAATTTAGTTTACTCAGTCACTCTCATAACTAGTTTAAATTGCTGATAATTTTTTCCCTTCTATTTGTCACTTTATGGAATTTGATGATGCTGTTGAGGTATTTACTGAAATGAGTTACAGGGTTACTAAAAGTTTTTCCTTTTAACATTATTACGGATGTTTAAATTTAAACTGGGACTAAAAAGCAAGGTGATCTGCCGATCGCACGTGTCACCCGTTTTTCTGCGGTCGATCCCTATATGTTTTGTTCTTATTCTTGCAGAAGCTGTTATTGTCAGCTGGAAAAGATTGGCTCATGGAATGTATTTGTATCTGTGAAACAATAGCATTTTCACATTGTTTCCATTGTGAGTTATGACCTCAATTGACCCCTGGATGACCTTTGACCTCAGTAATCCGATGAAGAATTGTGTCTTCCCACCCAAGGGTCGCTGCATCCAAGTTTCATCAAAAATCCATGAAAGCATGTGAAAGTTAACACATTTTTTTTCTCAAAAACTTAACCTAAACTTTAACATGTACGGTCATCTGGGGATACGTTCAATACAGAATTTAGGACCTTTAAGTGTGCCCCAAAACTTTGTTTAGGCGACACCAAAAAATCGCCAAGCTCTATATTTTTGAAAAGTGTCCTCCGGAAAAATTTGATCACGTCATATCACAGTCAAAACTTGTGATGTACATGAATTGAACATAAAGTCATGAAAGTAATGATTAGACTGAATTGAATCAGATGATTTTTCTGTTGCTTGTAAGAAATGCTCGTGGGCGGCCTAAAGCTAAGTTAGGCTTGAACTCGATACAATTTTGTGCTGAAATGTCAAGAATTGGCAATTTGAAAAGATGCAATCCCTTGATCATACAAAACCCAGTTGTATATCATGAAATATCCTGTACAAGGTGAAGTATTCAACACACTAAAATCAAAAGAAAAGCACATACCCAGCACTTGGACTGTGCATGTCTCTCACAAGAGATAAAAAATTAAACCAAACGCACATGGAAAGGACTACCAAAACGAACCTCTAGTTTTGAATATTTAAACAGCTGAAAAGTGTTGAAAACAGCCCAGAAATACATTTTAAAAAATGAAACAATACCATCTACCTTGTCCTTTTAGTTATTCCTATCAGAATATCAGCTTTCCAAAAATATGGAATGTACTATGTTGTTTTATATTCATTGCTTTGCTTGTACATGTATTCACTTTTGTACTACTTGACGTGCCTTAATAAAAATGTACTACGAAGGTAAATTTTCTTGTTCGCAGTGTTTCATAGTTATTTATATCATAGGAGGAAAGGCATTCCTCCCTGAAATCATTTATGAATGGGAATAAATATGTGCTCGGTCGGTAATAATCACTCTGTTTAAGACCGCTGTTTAAGTCTGGGCGCTGATAATTACCTTCGCCTTCGGCTCGGGTAATTATCAGCACCCAGACTCCAAGCGGTCTTAAACAGAGTGATTAAAACCTCCCGAGCACACATTTATTCCCCTAATTATGATACCTTAACATTAACATGGATCAATTTTTCGGTGGATGTCTCATTTAAAAGTGAATGACTTTTGTATTGTTAGAAAAACAGCAATTCAGAAATCAAATTGTTTTCGAGATGAAATTCGATACAGCACGGGGAACACGCATTTAAACAGACCGTCGTGCCAGTAACCAGGAAGCGGGGTGTTCCTGTGCAGTTCTTGCAGTACCTACAAACACTCAGCCAAAAAAGAAAGTCCCCCCCCCCTTAATACTTTTTTGTCTAACTAAAAAAACTACTAGTCCAGCGGATATGTGACAAAATATCGATGAATTGTGCACTTATGCATAAAAGCGTGAAACTTGGCACAGATGTTTATATTCATGCGAGAAAATGTTTTAGATGTGGAGCCATCGCAAATTTACCCTTTTAGGGGCGTGGCATCCATTTAAAAAAAGGGGGGCGGGACTTGTCGTGCCCGCAGTAAAAATGGTTTTTCCCACTTGTTACAAAAGCAGGAAACTTCACAAAGACATAATTATATAGATTATTAGTGTTTTCCAGATTCGGAGCCACCACAAAAGTACCTTTTTAGGGACGTGGCAGCCATTAAAAGAAAAGGGGGGGTTTAATTATTATGCCCACTTTGGAAAACATTGTGCCCATATTTCATGAACGAATAAAACGTCCCACAGACGTTTATATTCATGAGAAAAAAAATTCCAGATGTGGAGCCATCTCGAACACACCCTTTTAGGGGCGTGGCAACCATATAGGAAAAAAAAGGGGGCGGGGTTTTCATTATGCCCACCCTGGAAATATTGTTCCCACACTCATAGAGAAATGGAACTTTCCACAAACATTGACATTCATGAGAAAACAAATTCTAGATGTGGAGCCATCTCGAACACACCCTTTTAGGGGCGTGGCAACCATATCAGAAAAAGGGGGGGGCGGGGTTTTCAGTATGCCCACCCTGGAAATATTGTTCCCACATTCATAGAGAAATGGAACTATTCACAGACATTGACATTCATGATAAAAAACAATTCCAGATGTAGAGCCATCGCGAACACACCCTTTTAGGGGCGTGGCAGCCATATTGAAAAAAGGGGGCGGGGTTCTCATTATGCCCAACATGGGAAAAATGTGCCCACATCTCATAAACGAATGAAGCTAATTTCCACAGACATTAATACTCACAAGATAAAAATCACACGTGGAGCCATTGTAAACACACCCTTTTAGGGGCGTGGCAGCCATAATAAAATGGGGGGGGTAGTCATGATGCCCCTATAAAAGAAAGTTGTGCCTACCTTTCATAAATGGATTAAATTCCACTCGGACAATACATTCATAAAAATCTTTTCTTTTTTAATGTGAGGCCATCACAAACCTACCCTTTTAGAGGTGCGGCATCCATTTTTAAAAGGGGGGGGGGTACTCAATATGCACAACGTGGAAAATTTTGACAGCGTTTCATATAATAAAATCCACCTTAGATAGCTGTTTAATGTGTTGGAGTAGGGCCGCCTTTATAGTTGGAAGTTACTGTTGGCAAACCCTTCGTTTTCTTTCACTATGCATTCTTGCCTCATCTATATTAACCCAGTTACTGGTTCTTTCGTCTGTAGAATTATTGATAACCTTTCAACTGCATCAATATCTGAATTAGGGGTATAAACTGGGGTACCTCAGTTAGTCCAGGAAAGACTAGTGTTACTTCTTCAAATACATTGTTTCCCCTGCCTTTTTTTCTGAAAGACCAAAAGGCATATGCAGTGTCGCACCTGTATAACATAACATTTTTTTTAATGGATTTGGTCGGGGTAAAAAAAAAACACTCATAAGAGCTTGATATACCATTTTTAAGAGAACAGAGGTGTTGTGTGGTGGGGGTACACAGATTCATTGAATGTGAAGTCATAGTGGACGTGTCTACCACTTTGTGAGGCGAGTACATCGTGTTGTTACCCAATCTGCTGTAAATGCGGCGCAACGGGTAAGGGGTAGGGGGATTTAACCCCCCCCCCCCCTGCCATTGTGTGCTGTGTATTTGTAATTATGAAATCACTCTGGAATTTAGATGTGCATGATAATATAGGTGCAAGTACACACATTGAACAATATAACACGGGTTAGCCTACCGGTACTTACCCATGCTCTTTGGGGTAAGTCATTGTATTACCAAATAATATAGGTTATGGGCCAATCAACATTATAAGAAATCAACAACAAAATATAAAAATTGCAATTGTGGGCACAGTGAGTAGGCCCCTCACACCTCTGAAAGGATGAGTTTGCTGTGGCTCTACATAAGAACTTTCTTTTATAGCGGCATCATGACTACCCCCCCCCATTTTACTATAGCTGCCACGCCCCTAAAAGGGTGTGTTTACGATGGCTTCACGTGTGACTTTTTTTTTCTCTTGAATATTAATATCTGTGGGAATTAGCTTTATTCGTTTATGAGATGTGGGCACATTTTTTTCCCATGTTGGGCATAATGAGAACCCCGCCCCCCTTTTTTCAATATGGCTGCCACGCCCCTAAAAGGGTGTGGTCGCGATGGCTCCACATCTGGAATTGTTTTTCTCATGAATGTCAATGTCTGTGGAAAGTTCCATTTCTCTATGAATGTGGGAACAATATTTCCAGGGTGGGCATAATGAAAACCCCGCCCCCCTTTATTTCCTTATATGGTTGCCACGCCCCTAAAAGGGTGTGTTCGAGATGGCTCCACATCTGGAATTTGTTTTCTCATGAATGTCAATGTTTGTGGAAAGTTCCATTTCTCTATGAGTGTGGGAACAATATTTCCAGGGTGGGCATAATGAAAACCCCGCCCCCCTTTTTTTTCCTATATGGTTGCCACGCCCCTAAAAGGGTGTGTTCGAGATGGCTTCACATCTGGAATTTTTTTTCTCATGAATATAAACGTCTGTGGGACGTTTTATTCGTTCATGAAATATGGGCACAATGTTTTCCAAAGTGGGCATAATAATTAAACCCCCCTTTTCTTTTAATGGCTGCCACGCCCCTAAAAAGGTACTTTTGTGGTGGCTCCGAATCTGGAAAACACTAATAATCTATATAATTATGTCTTTGTGAAGTTTCCTGCTTTTGTAACAAGTGGGAAAAACCATTTTTACTGTGGGCACGACAAGTCCCGCCCCCTTTTTTTTAAATGGATGCCACGCCCCTAAAAGGGTAAATTTGCGATGGCTCCACATCTAAAACATTTTCTCGCATGAATATAAACATCTGTGCCAAGTTTCACGCTTTTATGCAAAAGTGCACAATTCATCGATATTTTGTCACATATCCGCTGGACTAAGAGCTATATTTAATATAGCTCAGTGCATGGAGCTATAAAACATGCTCAGTGGTACGATCCGGAGTGGTGCACATTATTGTGTTGTGCACTGCACGCACCAATGAACAGTCTCAGTACTGGGCAAAAGACACAATAGACCATACTCTGGCTGGTAGGCACCTATTATGGGCTCAAGTGCATGGGGTTAGGTTGTATATGACCGCTAGGTGCGGCGCGACACACTGTAAATTTTTAGTGTACAGGATGTACATGTCTTTTTGAGTTGGATAGATATAGTGGATTGCGAGTTTACATTCTCTGAGAAAAAAATGGAATTTCTCCACTGAACAATTATTAATTTCAACCGAGAGACTCGGCCAGTGCCTCCGGACAGATCTGAGGAAGGAACTTGCCGACTCCAGTGAGTTATAATATTAGAAGTTTCGAGTAATTGAAAAAACGAAAAACGATTCAAATCAATCAGTGCCGGCTCGGCAAGTTGAAATTGGGGAACGTGATTATCTTTATGAATTTCATGGTATTCTGGTAAGTTCATAGTTAAACTTTAATACAGGTTTCTCAACCTTTCACTTCAGCAGAATCTTGGGCTGAATCACAGGCTAGCTGCTCCGGCACAAGCGATGTCACGCGGTACTTCACTAGCCTGTGATTCAGCCCGCAGTTCGGCCCAAAATTGACAATAATGTTTAGACTATACAGTTCAAATTTGCTTCCTTGGTTAAAGTAGAATTTCGTCTGCAGTCCAAACTTTAAATGAGCAGTAAACTTTAATTAAAAGTATTATAATGCCTTATGTCTTACCATTATAATGTTTTTTTTCTTTCAATCCAGGAATCCTGTATGCTTTAAGCTGTTCATAAAAAAAATTATCTGCCAGACAGCTACAATGGGTGCCATCAAGGGACCCATCGTCAAGCAAGAGGTTCATCTGGAGACCAAATCATACTGTCATGACATTTGTAGCAAGGTCGTTCAACACAGAAAGCAGGGGCATCACGAGAGAAGCCGAGGAAAAGATATTTGCTTGTGAGATTTGTTGCAAAGGCTGATAACACAGTACGCGTACCTCACTACGACATCGGAGGGTCCATACTAGTAAGAACCCATTTGTCTGTGACATGTGGAAAAGGCTTCTCAAGGAGCTGTAACCTTCAAAGACATGCAGAGAGTCAACACTGAAGAGAAACCATTTGTTTGTGGCACTTGTGGCAAAGGCTTAATTCTCACGGAGGGTACTCTACAAAATTAACTGAGCGTCCACACTAAAGAGAAACCATTTGTTTGTGACATTTGTGGCAGAGCCTTCTCTCTAAATTGTAACCTACAAAGCCATCAGAGCGTCCGCACTAAAGAGAAACCATTTGTTTGTGGCATTTGTGACAGGAGTTTCTCGATGAATAGTACCCTTAAAAGACACAAGATGGTCCACACAAATGAGAAACCATATGTTTGTGACATTTGTGGCAGAGCCTTCTCTCTAAGTAGTACCCTAAAAAGCCATCAGAGGATTCACACCAACGAGAAACCATTTATGTGTAACATTTGTGGCAGGAGCTTCTCGGTGAGTGGTACTCTAAGAAAACACCAGAGGGTCCATACTAATGAGAAACCATTTGTTTGTGACATTTGTGGCAGAGCCTTCTCTCAAAATTGTAACCTACGAAGGCATCAGAGGATCTACACCAACGAGAAACCATTTATGTGTGACCTACAAAGCCATCAGAGCGTCCACACTAAAGAGAAACCATTTGTTTGTGGCATTTGTGGAATGAGCTTCTCACTTAGTCAGCACCTTCAGGCACACAAAAAGGTCCACCCCAAAGAGAAACCATATGTTTGTTACATTTGTGGAGAAGGCTTCTCTCTAAGTTGTAGCCTACAAAGCCATCAGAGGACCCACATCAACGAAAAACCATTTGTGTGTGACATTTGTGACAAGAGCTTCTCGATGAATAGTACCCTTAAAAGACACAAGATGGTCCACACAAATGAGAAACCATATGTTTGTGACATTTGTGGCAGAGCCTTCTCTCTAAGTTGTCACCTAAAAAGCCATCAGAGGATCCACACCAACGAGAAACCATTTATGTGTAACATTTGTGGCAGGAGCTTCTCGATGAGTGGTACTCTAAGAAAACACCAGAGGGTCCATACTAATGAGAAACCATTTGTTTGTGACATTTGTGGCAGAGCCTTCTCTCAAAGTTGTAACCTACGAAGGCATCAGAGGATCCACACCAACGAGAAATCATTTATGTGTGACATTTGTGGCAGGAGCTTTTCGATGAGTGGTACTCTAAGAAGACACCAGAGGGTCCATACTAATGAGAAACCATTTGTTTGTGACATTTGTGGCAGAGCCTTTTCTCTAAATTTTAACCTACAATGCCATCAGAGGATCCACACCAACGAGAAACCATGTATGTGTGACATTTGTGGCAGGAGCTTCTCGCTGAGTGGTACTCTAAGAAAACACCGAAGGGTCCATACTTATGAGAAACCATTTGTTTGTGACATTTGTGGCAGAGGCTTCTCACAGAGTGGTAATCTACAAAGTCATAAGAGGGTCCACACCAACGAAAGACCATTTATGTGTGACGTGGTAGAAACTTGTTGCTGAGTAGTACTCTTAAGAAAACGCCGGATGGTCCAGACTAATGAGAAAACCATTTGTTTTAGACATTGTGGTAGAGGCTTCCCTCTACGTACTAACCTACAAGGACATCAGAGGGCTCATACTAATGAGAAGCCATTTCCTTGTGATATTTGTGGCAGAAGCGTCTCGCCGTGTTGTGCTCTACGAAAACATCGGAGGATCCACACTTATGAGAAACCATTTGTCTACGACATTTGTGGCAGAGGCTTCTCTCGATATGTCCCCGATGTGCCCGATATAACCTTAAACGGGAACTAATTGGTTTTTATGTCACCCTACCAACGGCTGGAATACTCCCACTTCCACTGTAGGCTTTGCCAAGGCCAGCAAACCTCCATGGCCTCATCAGGACGATTAATAAAGCCAGGTCCTACACCGCTGAGGGACTCAAGAGCCTGCAGGAACTGTCCAGTGTCGATGTCGTGGTCAGTGAAGTCCCGACGGTATAAGGCATGCCTGCCCACTCCCCTAATCACATTTTTGTGGGGCTGGGAGTGGGGTTAGGGGCAGCTGTCTTCTCTTTCTCAAAGCCGTCAACGGCAGCTATTTGTTTTAATTTTCAATTGAAATTAAGTCAGGTTTTTTTAGGCCACTAGTAAAATACTTAATGTTCCACAACTGTAGGGTTACTGTTGTTGCACTTGGGAGAAACCTCCGCGCATGATTCCTATTAATTCGTGCAGTGGAAACAGGTTTTTTTTTTCGGTGTCAGATGGTGTCACCCTGAAATTATTCTTACCAATGCACTCGTTAAATGTTCAATATTTGTATAATCATTGCATCTTTTTGTCAGACACATCAGGCACGATAGAGCGCATTTAATATGCAATGTAATTTGTATCTTTTGGCTGGTGAACTAAGCTCAGATCTCTTTAAACTTTTAGTACAATTTTTAGCCAGTGACTCGAGGCAACTACCCTCTTTGATATAGCTGTTAAAGCGGTTCAATAATTATGCCCTGATCATGAATCACAGTAACCGTAAGTGCATGACTTTTTTGCTTGTTTTCATGTGAAAATTGATCTCCTTACTACATGTATTCGGCTTTTGATTATTGCAAGTCATAGGCCCGAAGGTGAAAAGTGACGGTATTTGTTGAAAATATGTAGGCTACATTGTGTATCTAACTATCTAACTGGTAAGCAAGAAGTATTTTTCTTTGACAATCTCATTTCACGATTCCTTTCATTTCATAAATGTAACTTAAACGTTGTTGAAGCATTGAGGAGCATCTATTTAAAATAGCAATTTGTTGAGGGTGTTTAATTTGTGTTTGGTATCATCGGAACAATACAGCTGCATCATTTTGGGTTCACGTTTCTGAGTATTCTTTCATTACATGTTATAATTAAAACGCATGTCGTATTGATTATTATTCGAAGTTGTGATTTGAATTTGTTTTCCCATTACTGTGTGAGCGATATTACTCCGTTGGAATGACAATCATTACAATGTATCTTCAATAAAAGAATTAAGAGGTAAAGGCATGTATACGATAAGTTAAAAAAAAATTGCTGGTGTGACGTGTACAGAGTAACCCCCAAAAAATGCAACCCTGAAACATTTGCCTTTTTTTTTCAAAAACATGATCTGTGAATTTTTATGTTTTAGGTATCAGAATAAAGCTGAGAGTTTTTTCTTTCAAATACTGAAGACAAAAATCATGAAAACAGCACATTGGGTTGCTGAGAAAATGCCAATTATGTAACACTACTCCTTTTTGGTGCATTCCAATGGCATTACCACAGTTAAGGGATTTACACTGTACCTATTTGTGCATGAGAAATGCATGTAGCGCATTGTTTCTTAATCCTACAACACGACACATAATGTGACAATTACAAGAGTACAAATGAATTTGATGGAAATACATTTTATTTCAAACCTGTACCGGTAATCTTATCCTTTTTAGTCCTACATTCTAAACCTTTTCAGCGTCATAAATATGTCAAAATATTTAAGAAATTGCACAATGAAAGGCATATTAAAATGAATGTTTCTGTGTCATGGTCTAAGACGCTTTCAATATGTCAAGTACGATGCAGAAGGCAAAGTGGCACAAGCTGGACGGTAGAAGTACTGCTACCATCTATTGAAGTCATCCATCAGACCAAATTTGGAATATTGCTATCGAACTTGGGGAACAGCAGCAAAATCAAAACTGGGGATTCTTGACAAACTTCAAAAGAAGGCCATAGCTTCCGCTCCACTAAATCTTCATGCTGAGCAAGGTATTCAGCCTCTAAGTCATCGTAGGCAAGTTGCTGGTCCAACAGTTTCAGGAAAATGCAGTGCTCTCCTCTGTGCCTCATCCACTGGACAGACTCAAACTACTGCCATTTACAGCACGCCGTTCTAGTAGGCAGGGGGGGGGGGAGTCGCCCCACGCCCCCCGTGGCTACGCCACTGCTCACGGCATCAGAGATCCTTTACAGCATCCTATGCAAGGGTTTGGAACTCACTACCTGCTTCTGCTATGTTAGCCCCATCTAGCTAATCTTTTGAATCCGTTGTTCATAATTTGATCCTTGACATGTCCCCTGCTCATAATTTATGAACTTTAGCTGTGGTTATCTACTAGCTTCATGTTCTCTTGAGTAGGGCCTAAACTAAAAAATATATATATTATGTAACAATTTTACACACCTTTTAAGTCTTTTCACAAGTGGCATTTTGAATTGTAACTCTGTCAAGTTAGCAAGACTTATTTTTAGAGAATAAAATATCCAAGTAATTTTTCATCAGAAGTAAATGGAATCAATCGCAAAGTGGGCTTACACTGTTTGATGCACTATTGGAAAGGATGAAAAATCACTTCTTTTACATAATTGGCATTTTCTCAGCAACCCAATGTTCTGTTTTCTTGATTTTTTTCAGTATTTGAACGAAACAACTATCAGCCTTTAATCTAATATCCAAATTTCAAAACGTAAAAATTCACAGATCACGTTTTTGAAAAAAAGGAAATTTTTTTGGGGTTGCGTTTTTTTTTTTTTTTTTTTTTGGTCACCCTACTTTACTGGAGGCTGCGCAGCAGCCAGACACAAGGTACGTTTCTCCAAATGGCTCTATCTTGGGCAAACTCACCGATCTCATTAGGTGTGAGAGCTACATCTTTAGAGAGTAGTCTGGCAATGTACTGTGGGTACATCAAAGCACCTCTTCATTTGCCACCGTCGTGTGGACAAGTAATTGGTAGAGGTCGTCTTTTGTGACGGTATATTTTTGTAAGTCTCAATCAGCTGTTGAGTTGGGCGCATGGACCGATTGGCTTACAATGCTTTTTTGTTTATTTGTTTGGCTTCATGGGCGTCGCGAGGGAGGGCAAGGGGGGCGCAAGGGGGAAAAAAGAAAAGCAAAATGTCCCTGCCCTCCTCTAAAACTGATAAATCGAGAATTTGTTGAGAAATACAAGAATTTCTTGGGGAAAATATGTTTTGCCCCCTCTAGAAAAAAATCCTGGCGACGCCATGTTTGGCTTGTAGTGTTTTAAGATAACCAGTTCTTAATTATCAATTCGTCTTAATTTTTAGTTATCCCTCTTTAATTATCAATCTTACTTTTTGAAGTTTTCAAACTTGATCGTTCCTGAATAATCATGAATCGTCTGGATTGTTCAAGTATTGTGCTCCACACTATCAATGCATTAGTTTACATAATTATACACTCACACAATGTGCCTGTACAGTGTAGGCCTATATTGTTTTGTACAGAGCAAAATTAATGAACTCGATCGCTGTTAATTAACCCTGGTTAACCCATACACGTTCCAGAAGACTCTTAGGTCATTTTGATTGAAAGCATTCCTCATAGTCGGCTTATTGCTGAGAATCAAGAAAGCCAAGACATATGATTAAATGTTCCCGGTACTTTAATATTTCTTACTTCAACCAACTACAGTACCGTTCAGTTGAGCAGTTCTTCAATTCCATTCATTTTATTTAACCAGTAATTTCTCAGCAGTATTCAATATTCGTTCCACGGTTCTCCTTTCCTCCGTTCACTTTTCAGCCACGTTCAGTTAACTCAGTGGGTATTGTTGTGGATCTGGAATGAAGACGCTGTTTGATAACATGAGTTCTCAACTATGTGTACCTCTTTCAGTTTTTGGAGCACCAAAAGTGGACAACCCAAAGTTCTCATTTTCTGCAAGTGGATTCTTAGCTTTTTAGACGGTCGCTTCACCCGTTTTTTTGTTTTAAATCAATTTTCTGCTAGCAAAATTTGGGTTGTTTAATACTTTTGAAGAGTACTTTTCTTGACGCCCCAAAAGTGGACAACTAAAAATCCTAAATTTCTGTTAGAAAATTTCGAGTTGAACTTATGGAAGAAACCAAAATCTCTTATTTTTTCCCTAGCAGAAATTTGGTCGCATTAAGGACTTTTCCGAGGGTGGTTTTCTCAATAAATCAAAAATAATATTTAACACTCCGACTTTTCGAGGGGTCCGGACTCCGGAAGCGCGCCACCAGGGGTAAATTTTCAGGCTCTATATCGATCGATCACTGACGTCGTCGCGTCTTGGCCGCGCCCATTGATATTGTATTCTAGCGCGGCTAGCTAGCTGCGGTGTTGTTGAGGGCGCTATCAACAAGTCTAGAGAGTCTGGCAGTGGCACGTCTAGTTTTGGCCTAGTTTCCAAACTTCGTGATCAAAACTTCAACGTTGAACTTTCAAAACGCTTTACCAGCAAGTTGAAATTGATGATCATATCTACATGACTTTTATACTATATTGCTCCGGTAAGATCATGATTATTAAAACTTGGTAAGGAAAGATTCCCATATCTGGCCGACACCATGGCCAACCCTGTCCCTGTGCACAAACCCTACGAAGACTTGAAGTTATGACTTGCACTGGTAATTTGAGACTGGTCTGAAAATTTCTAGGCCTAGGCAAAGTGTTTTCTCAGTAAATACTTCAATATTTTCCCTGCTAATTGTGATTTTTTAGGACATATTATCACTTTCTGATGGCTGATAGGCCACTGAACATGCTGAAGGGAAAAATTAGTGATGGCCAGATATGGGAATCTTTCTCTTGGACTTGGTCAGTGTTGCCTTTGTTTTTGGTAAGTTTATTAATTGTTTTTTTTAGTTTAGGTCTACATCCTGAGTTTGGCGATCGTGAAGTGTAGGGCCCCTGTTTTGTTTAATCAAATTAGAGTCAAAAATGTTTTTTATTGCTCAAAAATCA